AATACAATAAATATTTATTAGTCATATCTTTAAAGATAAAAGCTTTACTTTATTTAATGCTCGTAAAAATCGTAAAGACTCCACATACAGGTACAGAAAATTATACAAATATTAGTAGTAAATTATAATTTATTGTGGAATCGAATAATTACAGTTTAAATTTCAAATCAGATAAAATCGCGAACATTATTAACTTATTAGGACTATAAAACTATATTCCTTAATTTTTTTTCTAACACTTAGGTATAGGCTTCAATGGACTTTTAGTCCCGCACTAAAAAAAGATTCTCAGTGATTGATCTAGTCTTGAGCATAGGTAGAAAGGGGTGTCGCTATATACCTATAGCACATAGCGACATCCTTTTCTAACTGTACTCAAGTAAAGATCAACACTTAGTTGTCATTCTGTAATACGGGCCTTAGTGTAAAGTTTATCAGTGTGGCTGTAAAACATACAAACGTCTGCCACCGAATAAATCAACAATAAATGATTATTAATGTGTAACATAAGTACTCTAATACCATACATAAAACTCTCGAATACCGGACTAGGAGTAAACAAACTCGGATTTAGGTTACCAAATCGTCACATCTACGGCAAACTGATGAATCTGCTCTTTTAGTAAAAATCTATAATAAAAAACTGCACATAATGGGGTACTTAACACCAGGGAAAAGTCACACAATTTTATCAACGACGGTTCCAAAAGTCTGATTGTTTGAATCTGCATTTTATGTTTATGCACCCAAAGTAAACTTACCAAATTATTATACGATATTTTGGCGTAGTAGTGACGAAATGTAGAGATTAGCTCAAAATTGCAACCAAAAAAACTTCCATCACCATCAACATTGCGATCGGCAAAAGTTGATCGACCCACCACCGCCCGCCGTGACTAATGCACATGACAGCATACGTCACGGTAAAATGGCATTGACCGGTAAAGTTTACTTTCTAGCTCACTATAGTCCAGATGTTACGTAAAAGACAGTCCTACTTATCACTATCCGTTAAGTGTGGGCATATTTAATTAAGGTAATTCCTATGCATATCTTAAGGAAAGTGAAAAGTATCCCAAATTCAATTTTGTTTTGAGTGGGAAGTTTAAACTTTTAACGAACCATAGTGAAGTAACTTCATACAGAAGATCACCACAGTGTTTTTATTACCACATTTTGGTGGTGTTGTGTTGCTGTCGGTATCTCGATCCGTTGTTATTAGAAATACTTTTTCCGTTAAAAATTAATGTCGTAAGTCTCACCTTTACATGTAAATGAAAGTGCAACCTGATTTCCACTGTGCTGTAAAACTTTTTCCCGGTTTAGGACAAAGTTAATCCCCAGCCGTGCTATTTCGTAAGAACACTTTTCACCGCGGAATCCACGGTGTGATTAAAAATTAGAAGGAACACGAATTTCAAAAAGATTTCAAATCACACCGGCGTTTTCCTCGGTGAAAAGTGAGTTTGTTCTTACGGAATAGCACGGCAAGTTCAAATTTAATCCGCATTTGGCGTAAATAAAATCTGAAATGAGATCTTTCAAGTTGAATCGCGCATATTAGAGAAAATCTTTAATTTTGTTTTTGCGAAGCTCTTGCTTATTTATGCACTACAAAAATTGGAACGGAAACATGATCCACATCCTAGCTAGATCTTAAGATGCACTCTGATGTTATGCAAATACAATTCACCTTTCACTATCGAAATAACATGTCTCGCGACGCGTTACGATTGCGAAACGCTGTGTGAAAACAAACAATAGTCGTGTCATTAAATAACTTTGGTTATTGTTAAAATGTAAAAGTAGAATTGACCGTAACAATAACAAAGGAAACGCATTACCAAAAAATAAACATTTCTGATATTATAAATATTGGATTGTCTGAGACTGTTTTGTCTTAAAATATTAAAAGAAAAATATGTAGGGAAGTCTATATTAAAGGTTTAATAATAAAACCGTTATTAACTTTATTGATTCAAGATCAGTAATTTCAACTTATATTAATTGCCATAATTAACGCTTACATGTAACTTAGTATTTTCCCGTATAAATTTTTATTTACCTGTTACAATTTATCAGCTACCAGCGAAAGGCACTGCCCGGTCAAGGAGGTCTACTTTAAGTAGTACAATCGTAATGCATTTATTTATGTATGTCATTCAGTAAACTCTGCACCTGTTAGATTAATCTATACTTATAATAAATCTGTAGAGAGGTCAATTCTGTACATGAAATATATTTTCAAAATAACTATCAGGGGGTCATTAGTGATCGATACTGATGCCAAAAATGCAATCAGTAAAATTTTTGTCTGTCTTTCTGTCTGTCTGTCTGTGTGTATGTTCCTTATAGAAACAAAAGCTACTCGACGGATTTTAACGAAACTTGGTACAATTATTTTTCATACTCCTGGGCAGGTTATAGTATACTTTTCATCACGTTACAGTCAATAGGAGCAGAGTAGTGAAGGGAAATGTTGGGAAAACGGAGAAGTTACTCCATTTTTTTAGCTTCCGTTGCGTGTGCAGCCTTAATGGTTAAAGTTACATAGAAATCATGTATGACGGAAATAGTCTACATAAAATTGTCTAAAAAATATCCCGCAACAGCATATGTCTATCTTTTATAGTTGACTCACAATAACACGTGTAACTCCTGATAGCTTAGCAATTCGGAGCATTCTGATATATCTATTTGTTTACTCTTACGTTTATAATACTCTCACTCATCCCTAATTTAAAAAAGTTAACATTATTACCTATTCAATAAAAAAAGAATCATAGAAATCGGTATAGAAACACCAAACTTATACATGAAATAAGTCATCGCGCCGTCGCACGTGAATACTGAATCATGCTATAAGGATTATTTTTGTGTAACGGTTGCCGCGCTCGACACGGGTCGCGGCGGCGGCGGTAGGTTAAGAAGAATGCCATTGTGTATAATACAGGCCTGAGAACAATAACTATAGTCTACACTTCAGCTCTACACCGAAGCGAAGCGAGGGCGGGCCACTAGTATTAAATATTTAAGGAAAATTCATACTGTACGCATAATAAGGTGTTTTAGATTATTGGAAAACAAATAGGTCAATGAAAATATATGATGTGAAAATGTATTCTTTTACACCGCAAAAATATGTTTGCTGCGGCAATGGGACACATATGCAATTGACCTTCTAAAGAATCTAATAAATCTAAACCTTTAATCTCAGTGCAAGCTATTTAGTGGTATTGAACACAATAAACTGATTTAATGAAATGGCAAATGTGAAGTAACTCTTTAAAAATATTGCAGATTATATATTGAATGGCTGACATAAAGAAACCGCAACGAACGAAGGTTTAAGATTAATATAGGTTTTATGTAAGCCGACAATTCTAGAGTTATAGCCCTATCTGTGGGTAGGTTTCAAACGTCAAATCAAAGAATCTTTATCATAGAATCTTTATTCAAATAGGATGCTCTATAGAATTCTTAAGGATCATCCAAAATATTATTAGTTTATTTATATCACACCGTAATTGTATTATCATTTATGTTTCCATAGTTTCGACACTTCAATGTGATGTAATTTTAATTAAATTTTTAATATCTAATAGACCAGCAACATGCGTATTACACAAATCATAAAAACTTATCCGATCCGATGGCGCAAGTGATTAGCGCGTTCGGCTGTGATCGTTGAAGTTAAGCAACTTTCGCAGTGGTCGGTCATTGGTTGGGTGACCAAAAATTTACTATCTCGAACTCCTCCGTGTATCGGAAGGCACGTTAAGCCGTTGGTCCTGGGCCTGCGTGGTGGATCATGGCCCAAAATTCCTATTCCATCCATAGGGAAGGCCTGTGCCACAGCAGTAGGGACAGCAGGCTGATGATGATGATGATCCGATCCGTTTCCTAAATTATATAATGTATCTCAACCTTTCATACCGATATATTTGTCCATACAATACTTAGGGTGTTTTTACGCACCTTTATTGCTCTGAAAATCAGCTACCATCAGCCTTCAACCCAGGTTCCTTTAAAAGAGATGTTACTGAATGCTGTCATTTGTTTTTTAACCATTCAAAAAACCTGGTAGAGTGCAATTCCGACTCGCAGGGAAGGGGGCGCGAAGGGTTCCTATTTAAACTTAGATCGAGAAAATAATTCGAAAAAAACACGTTTCATGTTTATAGACCACCTTAATTTTTTATTGTATCTTATTATTGATTGTGTAACGGCCACGCATTCTGTGAAAATTTCCGCCTATTTTGTGTTTGGACAATAGAGCCCCGAGACAGACAGACACACAGCAGAACAATATTAATAATAGGGAAAACTAAAAATGGTCACCTAAAATAAAAAAAAGTATTTCATCAAATATTGAACTAAATGAGTAAACATTGGTGCCAATTCTGACGTGATTCTCTAAACTTAAAACTAAAATTAACATCAGTCTCTCCTTTTCATTCTGTATAGAGAATGACAAGGATATACTGCTGTCAAATTTAAGTTTAGGTTTAGAGAATCATGCTAGAATCGACACCATTATCTCTGTTAACAAATTGATTCTCAATTATTAGAAGTACCTACATGAATACAAGACTTTGGTATGTTGTTTGTAAATATTTAGTCGAGAACTAGTTTAAGTTATCTTTAACCTAATATTGTATAAGTACCAATTTAGGACCAAACACCTATATGGTTGTTATTTATGTAGGAATTTGATTTTTTGTCATGCGTCGATCGCGTTCTGTTATTTGATTCCTTTGGAGTTTGCTATTACGAATTTACGAAAGTTTAAAATAAAGTGTTGTGAACATTGTTAATTTAATGGATTATTCGATAAAAAAAAACACTGTGTTATGCTACCAACTTTCAGCAAAGATTTATTTTACTTTAAAAGATCTAAATAAATGCAAAGTTCTATGCCATACATACACCTGTGTAAAGTGGCAAGTTGCCTTGTACTTTGTATGCAAAATTTCTTACAAATATCTTTTTCTTTACAGATGGGGTGCAAGCTGACATTCGTGGACGACATCCTGAACAAATCCTTCTACAAACTCGGCCTAATAGTGGGAAGGCAACCGGGGTACTTCATCATCATCCCAGTCCTGCTGACCCTGCTGATGATCACGGGTTACCAACGGGTTCACTATGAAATGGACCCTGAGTACCTGTTCTCTCCCGTCAGTGGACAAGGAAAGTTGGAGAGGAGAATAGTCGAGGAGCATTTCAAAGTCAACTACTCCCACAGGTTTAATGTTGGGAGGATCACAAGGGCAGGTGGGTGTCACTTCATCTTCGTAAATCTCTCGAAATTGCTTCAAATTGCCATTGTTTAGGTATGTCTCTTAAAAGAATTTGTTTTCAAGTTTTAGCTTCGAGCCGAAGTATTTAGTGTCTATTAATTAAATAGACAAAAACTTATTCAACAAGTGAAAATGACATCATAAAAACAGAACCACAAAAAATAAAATAACACGTTTTTTTATTTATTTGTTAATGGGTAAGTTCTTGTGCCTATGTCAAGCCCGAGAGCGGAGATAGAATCTACGGTGTAGCGAGCTTTTAATTTACCAAAGCTTCTTTTACAAACATCGACCTTAGGGTTTCCGCTAAACGACCCGAAAAACTGTGTAAATAAATATACTATATTTATTATAATATTGTACTGATAGGCTGTTTATTGATCGACTGCAGTCGTTAGCACCCACCAATCCGCATTCGGCCCGCGTGGTGGGTTATGGCCCAATCTCCCTATTCCATCCATAGGGAAGGCCTGTGCCCCAGCAGTGGGGACATTAATAGGCTAATGATGAAGATGAATTTTAATATTTATTAGGTGAAGTTTAATTTTTTCCTTTAGGCATACAACATGTTTTCAATCAGTCTTATAGGTAGGTTAACTGTTAAATTATTCATTCAAATCGTGTTGTGAATTATATTATAAAACTAGTTTTGAAGGCCGAAATTAATTCATTTTTTCAAATGCAACAAGTTTTACTTAATTGATATAAATGAATTTATGAGTATGCCTGCCTATATTTTTATAAAATACCTGCAAGCTACGAATAGTTATTTATGATATTAGTGCGGTAAGTTGCTTATTACAAACGAGTAGCCAAATGTAAGCTCGAGACGAAGTCGAGGGCTTACCATAGTCATTGTAATACCAATCCGCACGAATGTCATACAACGTTTTTCAACACATTTGCGAGAAAACATTATACAAGACTTAAGTAATGAAGCAAATTTTTTCTAATAAGAAAATGGCGCGCCTTTCCCAATGGCGCCACGTGCGGGTGGTGAAAATTAGAACTACATCTTTCGTATCTTTTTCTTTTTAGTATTAGTGTGACATAATTAGGTATAGACTAAAAGCGCATCCGAGTAGTATCGATCGAAATTAAAAAAACGTAAAGAATACGCACGGTGCCCTGTATGCGTAATAATAAGCGTGCGTAATAAATTTTATACGTTGTATGACCGCACGCTCCGCAGCATGGCTCGTAATTTTTGATTTTTTGTTAACGTGTATAACCTTCGTAAATGCAGCTTTTGAGCAAATGCGTTGAAAAAAATATCCAGTCCCAACTAATGTCGAGTGTAAGTAGTAAAATACTCCACTGATTGTTAGTGATATCTAGTAAATAAGATAATATAAGGAGCTATCTTTAGCCTTACTATTAGCCTTTACTAAGTCTCCTACCCCGTGGAGTCACCAATAGAAATACTTTGGCAAAAGATAGTTTATTAAACAGCGCCAATAGGTAGCTTTTTTTACAATAGTTCTTAGTAAGATTACTTTTCCAGACCGGCGGTTTTTTTCCTTCGGCAAATGTTTTGTGACGAACGATATGGAAATAGGAAAACAAGTTTCATTTACGCTCTATTACGCAATTAATTTGTGAATAGAAAATAAATAAATTTTAGTGACGATGAGTTGCTTCGAAAAGTAAATGGTGTTTGTCAAACAGGTTTTTCTGTTTAGCACTTATTATTAAAAGCTTAACTGCACATCGAGAATGAGCGAAAGGTAGTTTGGACCAAACGGAGTTAGATTTTATAGTTAAAATTTCGTGATACAAAATCTGCAGCGAGATTTTAATATCTGAACGACTGATCGATCTCTTTAAGTAGGAGTAGACAAATGATTGCAATCATTGCGAAATCTCCGTAATTCTATTTAATTGATCTCAGCGGGATCTGCTATGCTGTGTTCTGAATACAAACTTGGATACAATGTCCTCACCTAAGATTACGCGATAAACAGTAGATAATAAGTATGCACATGCTGTCTTCATCACCTGTGTGCCCTCGTGATGATACAAATGAGTTAATTGTTTATATACTAGCCTTTGCCCGCGATATAGCGACAAGTCGGCGTTAACTACATATTATAAATCAATGGGCAGTGGCGGCGCTAGACCACATGTGGACGTCGGCGACATCAAGTTCGCGAGGCCTATTTTACTTCGCAGTAAAAAACCGTTAAATTAAATGAGCCAAATTATAAAATAACGTAAGAGTAAACGAGTTTTATTGTTGATAATCAAATGATGACAAAAAAAATTAAAAAATAGAAATTTAATTACAAAAATAGTGTTGCCAGACAGACGATTCTGAATACTCGTAAAGTACTACTCGCTTCCATCACGCACGTGTTCGAAAATAATAAAAGTCATTATCATCTGCTTAGCTTTTTCCCCGAATTATTCGGGGTCGGCTACCTAAGCCAGGCCAGGAGAAACGAAAATAAACAGGTAACTTGTAAAAATTTTTTGCGAGGCCCCCCCCTCAGGCGCGAGGCCGTCGGCGGTGGCCGACGTCGCCGACGCCTAGCGCCACCACTGTCAATGGGAACGGAAAAGTTTTAAACTGATCCACTACTTTTTAGTAGTTTTTTACGGTTTTTATTTTTGTAAAAAAAATATACTCACACGATTTATTTGATCTTTAAAATCAATACAAACAAACAATCAAATCTTTCCTCTTTATAATATAAGTATAGATTTCAATAAAAAAATATAAAAAAAAGGATCACGACTACTTACTAGCTATATTACCAACTAATAAGTTCAAAAATTGTATTTCAATCGGGGCCCGGGGTTTTTTTGTGATCGCGATACAAAATAATCTTATCTTTACTACGCAAAAAGTTACTATTAGGGTTCCGTACCCAAAAGGTAAAACGGAACCCTATTACTAAAACTCAGCTGTTAGCCTGTCTGTCTGTCACCAGGCTGTATCTCATGAGCCGTGATAGCTAGACAGTTAAAATTTATACACATGATGTATTTTTGTTACCGCTATAACAACAAATACTAAAAACAGAATAAAATAAATATTTAAGCCCCCCTTAAATATTTCTTTTCCCTTACAAGAGACGTGATTTTTTTGTCGTTTTTTGCTCTATACTATAATATACTGTCTAATGTTGTATAGATACATAATAGTCCGAGTCCGACTCGCACTTGGCCGTTTTGTTTTTTAGTCTTTAATTCGCTTTTCCCTTCTCCACAGGACGGTTCGGTCGCGTGATCATAGTATCCAAAGACAACGACACGAACATGCTACGGACGGAGGTGTGGAAGGAGCTGCGAGATCTGGATGAGCTGGTGCAGAACATAACGGTCACGCTGCCAGACGGGGAGACCTTCACGTATAGGGAGGAATGCGCGCGCTGGGAGGGCCAGTGCTTCGTCAATGACATCCTAAACCTTGACAAAATCATAGGAGAGGTGAGAAGTTGTTTATGTAAATTTAAAGCAAACAAGCGTATGTCACCCTGCCCGAAGGGGAGACTTTCACTTCTAGGCAGGGAGAAGTGCGCGCGCTAGGAGGGCCAATGCTTCGTCAACGACATCGTGAACTTTGACAAAATCATAGGAGAGGTAAGAAGTTGTTTATGTAAAAATTAAAGCAAACAAGCGTATGTCACCCTGCCCGACGGGGAGACCTTCGCGTATAGGGAGGACTGCGTGCGCTGGGAGGGCCAGTGCTTCGTCAACAACATCCTGAACCTTGACAATATCATAGGAGAGGCGACGAGAAGTTGTTTATGTAAAAATTAAAGCAAACAGGCGTATGGCCCGGCAGCTGTGATTAGCAGTAACCTGAGGCTCAAGCACGAATTATGTCAGCTGCGTAATCGTATCATCATCGTCATTTTTTTATGGAAATAGAATAGTGTTATTTAGTTGCAATCTGTTTTATTCTGGCAGAAAATTGGTTAATAAAGATCTCTTTAAAATGGCACTCTCTCTCGGCCATCTTCTCTTAGGATGATCAATAGAACTTCTTTAAGTGCAGTAAGCCAACACCCACCCATCAATAAATAATGCAATTGATTGTTATAAATGATCTTAGATTAGCTTAAACGATTGAAGTAGGTAGTTTCCCCCAAACTGTTTCAAGGAAACTCAAACCCGCAAAGTTCGGTCACAGGAAGTTCAGTTTATCCAATGCCACGGTCGCGTATTCTTGTTTCGCGCACACTCGTCGCTTTGTCATTCAAAACCATTGCGAGTAATCACCGTGGATCACTGAATCATTGGGTCGTTTGATAAAACAATAGACAATTATTACTTGAGCTATAGTAGGTACAGCACAGAGCCGCAAGCCGCAGACTGCACGTTCATCGCATTAACAATGGTATTTATTTAGAATACCACCCTCGGTGACGCTACTAGAGGTGGTTGATTAAATCTACAATTTCTTGTTAAACGTTTAACCGCAAACTTGCTTTTCCTTCCTTTGTTTAAACAGAACAGTCAGGTGTTAAAAATTTATTAGCATTGCATGTATTGTATTTAATTTATTGACACATTATAAACGTGCTGTAGGGTTGCCAAGCTTCAACATTTTAAAGCATATGCAATTAGATAAGCCTGTTTACTAATAGTATAAGACAACAATTAGCCTTACCACATTAAACTGTCTAACATTAAACAAGAATTTAAGAAGAAAACATACCGTCTTTCTGTCTGCCTGTTGGAATATATCCCATTAATCATCCATGGGGGGTGAAAAGGGGATGAAAGTTAGTATGTGACAACAAATTTACTAATTGTAATAATATAATTACGCAGACGATGTTGCGGACACCCGCTAGTGTCATATATTTTTTTCTGAAGCACTGGCTTCTTTGTGGTAGGTTCTACATCTATGTCAATTTAGCAATAAGGGATAATCTTAGTAGTGTATTTTTCAAGTTAAACTGTTACTTACTATAGACTTAATTCTTGGGACAAGAGATAGCAAAGCTCCTAAAAAATCCCGACCTAACCCTTCATTTGAACGAAAAATCCGTTACTGATGCCTCTTCTATTCTCTCTGAATATTCGATGTTCCTTCTTGGGTAATATTATTTGTTAGAGCGAAAAATCACCTACATTCGTGGTACCTCAGACGGTGAAAGATAACTCATGCGCACTAGTAACGTAAAATGAAAATAAAACTTAGTGCCGTTTTTATTTCCAAATTTGTTTTTTTTTTTCAATTTATGTTTTTTTTTATTATATGTCTGATTTCATAAATATTGCTTTAAAAAATTAAAATTCTTGAAATGTGCTATTTCAAACAAACAAACACTAAACGAGGGTATTTTAGAATTTTTCTGTACTCTTAAAAAAACGTGTTCCAGAAAAAAACACATTTTATGTTTAAATCTAAAGAAAAGTTTACTAGAAAAAAAAAGGTCAGTGCATTCGCCCGGATAGCGAAGGATGCGGGTTCGAGTCCTGTCCGCTGCCTGGTCCGCGTGGTTTTTTTTCTAGTAAACTTTTCTTTAGATTTAAACATGAAGCAGTTAAATGCTTAAAAAATAAATAAAATCACATTTTATGTGTTTTTCCATCTTTTCTTCACGATAAATAGGGAAAAATCTGTTTTTTTTGCATCTCTATCCCACCTACCTAACTTAGATTTCGATGTTTCTTTTCTTCGTGGTTATTCATCCCACTATTTGTTGGAGCAAGAAATCACCTACACGTGTGCTACTACAGATGATGATAGGTATTATTTCATTAGCCAGCTATTGCGCGTTAGTTTAGTCCATAGATAGGTTCCAAAGTATTTGTGTGTTGGTCACAAATTGATACTTACAATTATATTTGTAGGTACCATTTATGAGTAAAAAATTTTGTGTTCTGTGGTAAAACTCGTGTGCTAATAGAGGTCGTTCACGATATTACGGTTTATTTAAAGATAATTCTTGGACCGGATTAACCACCCTCCTTATAAGATGGTAGGCTAGAAAACCAAAGTAGTCCAGTAAAGGACGACCGGCATGAGAATACTGTTACTGACCGACAATACGTATACACTAGGAAATTAGCAATATTCATATTATTTATGATTGTACAAAGAAGAATTAAGAAGCTCGATGGTGCAAGTGGTTAGCGCGTTCGCCTGCGATCGTTGAAGTTAAGCAACTTTCGCAGTGGTCGTTCATTGGATGGGTAACCAAAAATTTACTATCTCGAGTTTCTCCGTGCTTCGAAAAGCACGTTAAGCCGTTGATCCCGGCTGCATCTGCAGTCGTCAGCACCCACCAATCCGCACTGGGCCGCGTGGTGGGTCATGGCCCAATCTCCCTATTCCATCCATAGGGAAGGCCTGTGCCCCAGCAGTGGGGACATTAATAGGCTGATGATGATGTACAAGGAATAACAATGAATTAAGACCATTTATTTAAAATACTAACAGTCATTTGATACCTTGTAGCTATTACTAAGAATATTTATTTATTTATTTATTGGTATAGATATACCAGCTACTGTACCATTTAACATATTTTAAAACTTGCATATACATTCTTAGTTTATTGATATGCTTTTATAGGCGTGTAAAAGTACTTACACAACACAAACACAGGTTTCCTTATTAATTAATAAAAATATATATATTAATAAGAATAAATAAATTAATGGTCGGTTGGTGCCTCAACTGCTACAAAGATTCTGAGTTCAGATCTCAGTAGAAGTATTTATTTGGACCCGTGTAATGTTTATAATACTTGTATCATGTTTGCCAAGTGCGTACGTTATTTTTTCAGTAAATAAAAATAAGTTACCTAGCTTGTTAGACTTAATAAATAGAAGAGCGTTGGCCGGACTTTTTTTAAAAGAAAACATTTATAAAGAAGCAATAAATGGTTTTATCAATGATACTATCTTTGGATTTGGAATGGTTTATTCAATGTTCTTACGTGTTAGTTACGTTACGTTACATTCAAACGCAAGCGTTACGTTTACTTTTTTACGTCGCACCTTAGTAATTTGATACAACAATGTAGGTAATTGTGCAATTTAAAAAAAACAATAGCAAACATACAACATTGCCGGTACCAAGTAATATTTATATTTTTGGTACAGTAGGGTAAACGTAGGCTTAAATAAAAGATGTTATATTTATAATTATAGTCATTAAATCCTGCACGCAGCATTTTAAGCTACGCACGGAATAGATAAAAAAAAACTTGATGTAACCCAAATCACGATATTGTATAAGTACTTATCGTATTATATTTGTATTTTAAGCATTAAATTATTTAATTTACAAAATCTAAAGATAATAAATGTTACTAGAAAAAACATCAATCGGTCGAATTTCTTCTAATATTTCGGTTCAGTTTCAGGCTTTGTTGCCTATGCTTAAGAAGTTTGCAGAAGGTATACTTATCTCATTTTCTTTATACAGGTGGAGCGCGGCGAGCTAAACCTCACATTCCCCATAATGTTCAACCCGGTGACGTGGGAGGCCCATGCCTTCCCCGTATTCTTCGGCGGGTCCAAGGTGGTGGACGATACCATAGTGTCGGTGCCGGCGGTGCAACTGGTGTGGTTTGTGAGAACCGACAACAAGATACAGACAGAACGGTACGAATACTCGATTAATTTTATCAATTTGTGATTAATGTATTGATGTAAAGTGTGTAATTGATAACAATTATGTTAAAAAATACATAAAATGCAGGAAAAAAAATATTTTAAGGATCTAAAATGGGGAGAAATCTGATTAAACTTTTTTCTTTATCAAAAACTGATAAGCAATAACACTGGTCGGTATCAAAATAAGAGAAATAATACGTATGGATACGTTTAATCCAAATATGTACGAGGGGAGGTCAAAAAGTTCGCGGAATAAGAGGGAAGGAGGTTGAAATTAAACACCAAACTATTTTTCCTTTTCAATATATTCTCCCTTAACCCTAATACATTTTTCAGATCTCTCAAATAACTTGTTTATACCATCGAAAAAAAATGATTTGTCTTTGGTGTCAAAATAGGCCGAAATTACGGACTTCACTTCTTCATCGTTGTCAAATTGTTTTCCACGCAGCTCTTTCTTCATTTTTGGAAATAAATAATAGTCACTGGATGCCATGTCTGGACTGTAGGGTGGGTGGTTCAATTGTTCGAAGCCCCTTTGGTGAATAGCAGCCATCGCAACATGGCACGTGTAAACGGGTGCATTGTCGTGCAGAAGGAGCACACCTTTTGACAGCCTTCCTCTTCTTTTTTCCTTGATGGCTTCTTTCAATCTTTCTAGTAAAGAAGCGTAGTACTGTCCCGTTATAGGCACACCACGTTCTTTATAATCGATCAGTAAAATACCTTCTGTATCCCAAAAGACAGTCGCCATGATCTTGCCAGCCGATTGTGTCGCTTTGAACTTCTTTGGAGGAGGTGTGCCTTTTTTATGCCACTGCATCGACTCTTGCTTTGACTCGGGTTCATAGTGGTGAACCCAGGTTTCATCACCAGTAACGATTCGGGCTATAACTTCTTCCTTTCTCTCTCCACAGAGCTCCAAAAACTGGCGAGAACACTCGACACGCTCGCTTTTTTGAAGTGGCGTAAGCATTCTCGGAACCCATCTTGCACTGACCCTAGTCATCCCAAGATGATGATGTAGAATATTCAAAATACTTGTTTCGCATACTCCAATCATTGCTGCAAGCTGCTTCTTCTTCAACCGGGCATCTTCCAATACAAGTTTTTCACCTTTTTGACGATTTCCGGTGTGGTGGCCTCAATCGGCCGTTCGGAGCGGGGGTCGTCTTCAATGGACTCTCTTCCTTGTTTGAAAAGACCATGCCACTTGTAAACCATGGTTTTACCAAGGGCAGAGCCCGCGTAAACCGCCAACAGCTCTTGAAAAATAATCAGGGGGCCAATCGCCTAACTGGATTGCTTTGGAAAACGCTATCGCTTACGATTTCATTTTGTTATTTCTAGCTCCCTGAGGTTTTCAAATGCCTCGCGCTCTTTTTTTTTCTTTTGCATTGGTAATAACAATGTTAAAGAAAATGAGCGTGAGGTATTTCGGCGGTTAGAAATAACAAAATGAAATCGTAAGCGATAGCGTTTTCCAAAGCAATCCAGTTAGGCGATTGGCCCCCTGAGCGGATTTTCCTTGCTTGGTAAGGAACTTAATAACGGCGCGGTATTCAATTTTCTCCATACAGGCTGACTTCCTCCCGATTCAGTTGTTTGCAGTTCGATAATTCAAAAGTTAATGACCCGATATACGCTTCTTCTTCTCGCGCGTCGCCGGCGCCGTAGGCGCCGCGGCGTGCGGGGAAACTGTTCTGGGCCGGATGGCCCACTTCAGTCGTGTCGGTTTCGCACTCCGTCGTCGGGACGGAGCGGTCGTCGGGGTCCGTCCTCCACACTCTTCACACACCGCCCTCGGCGCGGTCTAGCCCACCGGGTGAGACCCTTAGGGGAGGCCCAGTGAGCGACCTGCGAGCGGGCGGCGGACTTGGGTGAGGGAGGATAGGACGTCATTGTGGGTTGTTGATGTCATGGGTTTGTAGGTAGTCTGGTTGGTTGGCCCGCTCATAACACAGTTATACTTTTTTTTTTTTTTTTTTTTTTATATAATGTTTTATCTATTTTTTTTTCCTTTTTCTCTGTTTTTTTTTTTTTTTTTTTTTTATTTATATGTATATATTATATTTTTTTTTTGTATAACATGCATTACGAGCGGGGCCATCGTCAGTCCGGTGGTTTTTCGTCGTCTTGCGGCGGCAGGATTTCCCTTGGGAGCGCGCGGCTGGTGCGGGGTGTGCGGTGGCGGTCGTGCGTCGGCGCGATGCCGCGCAAGTGCGCGTGCGCCGAGCCGTCCGCTCTCTCGAACATACCTGTGGCTAATCTGGAAATGAATTCGTTTAGAGTTTCGATGTTAAGGTCTTTGTGGAGAGTAGCGTTTCTAACAAAGTGGCCCGCGTTTGTTATTAATCGTAGTGTGTGGTTTTGCTGGGCACTTAGGCGTTTTCGCTGTGTGTCCGCAACCAGCGCATACCACGCGGGCGCTGCGTATGTTAATATGGGTCTTATGTATAGCTTATATAGATTCACTCTTGTATGTAGTGGTAATGAGCTGCGGAATACGGGTCTAAGCATTGCTCGGGCAGCTTTCGCTTTTGCGATGGTGTTGTTAATGTGTATTTTCATGCTTAGTTTTGCGTCGATTGTTATCCCGAGATACTTAGCCTGGCGTATCCACGGGATGGTCACGTTGTCGATGCGTAGTGGTGGCGGCTGTATGCGATGGTTGCCTATAACCATCGCTTGTGTTTTTCCGACGTTTATAGTTAAACGCCATTTGTTGAGCCATGGGATCAGGGCGTCTAGCGTCGGCTGCATTTTTTCCGCGGCGTGACGCGGGCGTATGGAGGCGGTAGTGTAGGCGGTGTCGTCAGCATATAGGGCCAACTTCGTCTCGCCCAGCACTGGGATGTCATCTGTGTATACTGTGTACAGGGTAGGGGACAAACAGCTACCCTGTGGTACTCCTGCTAATATAGGGCGCGTGGTCGAATTTTGTCCCTCTACCGTGACACAGAAATTTCTGTTTTGTAGAAATGACGCTATAGTTTTGAGCAGTCGTAGTGGTGCGGGGGTGGGAGAAGACGTTGATAATTTGTATAGCAGGCCCTCGTGCCATACGCGATCAAACGCCTTCTCCATATCGAGTAGCACCATCACGGTGAATTCTTTTTTATTCATCTTCGTAGCAAGGTCATGCAGCATCCTTGTCAGTTGAAGCGTGGTAGAATGGCCCGAACGGAAACCAAACTGTTCGGGCCGTGGCGTCGTAAAAGTATTTAATTTTTCAAGTAAAAGTTTTTCAAAAATTTTGGATGCAGTTGATAGTAGGGTTATTGGGCGGTAGCTACTGGGTTTGGTTGGATCTTTGCCCGGTTTATGTAGCATTATCACTTTCCCGCTCTTCCAACTAGTCGGAAAGTGGCCGGTACGGAGCGCTCCGTTATAAATGCGTGTCAGTGCTGCGACGCTTTTGGGCGGTAAGTGACGGAGGGCGGCGTTTGTGATACCATCCAGGCCCGGGGCCTTCCGCGGTTTGCACCTGGAGATCTCCCTCCGGACCTGGGTGGGCGAAAATACAATGGGATCCGCAGTAGCGGTGAGCTGCTGGGACAGACAACTAATCACGTGTGACTTTACAGCCATCACGTGCTCGTTGTCTGTCGTTGGGTTCGGGGTGAATTGCTGCTCTAAATGGTCCGCGAGTAGCTCGGCCCTGTCTATTGCGGCGTACTTGGGTATGTTGAGTTCATTAATTAGTGGGCGTGTCTTCGGTTTTTCCGACGAAAGTTGCTTGCAGAGGCGATAGACTGAGGGCATGTCGTCGCCTACTGCAAGCAAATGGTTTTCCCATGCAACGTTTGGGTGAACCTCCATTTCACGTTTTATTACCTTAGTGAGCTTGTTTACTTCGGCTTTGGTACTAGGGCATCGGGTTGTCTGCCAAAGTCGTCGCAGTCTGCGCTTTTCCTGTATGTGAGCTTGAATTCGATAAGGTAATTTGTTATCTTTATTGTGATTACCTGTTGTTGTACGAGTGTGGGTAGCTGTTGTTAGCGCCGTCTGTACGGCCTCGGTAAACTCTGCGGTAGCGGTGTCGACATCAGTAGGCGTGTTGATAGGCCGAGTGGGCGTGTTTTTCGCCGTTTCGGATTGGAATTTTTTCCAATCGATGCGACGGCGCGGCGCGAGGGGGTTTATGTTCGTAATCGTCTTCTCTATAGTTAATATGATAGGTCTGTGGTCCGACGGTAAGTCCATGCTGACTTCTTGGTGGAATGGCGAGTCGAACCCTCTCGTGACCACCACGTCAAGGACGTCACCGTTCCCGTTTGCGTCATACCTAGTCGGTTCGTCTGGGCCGTGTACTGTGTAGTCGTGGTTTAACATGTCTGTGTATACCTGTCTGCCTGCGGTGTTTATATCGGCTGAGTTCCAGTGTGTATGCTTGGCGTTAAGGTCCCCGGCCACCAGTGTAGGTAATGGGTGGAGGAGGTCCCGGAGTTCCTTAACGTCAAGACTGGACTGCGGTGGTCTGTAGGCTGCATATATGCGTGTTACCGTGCCTTCGAGGTTGACATCTATGCCGATGGCGTACATAGTTCGAAGTTGTACGTCTGGGGCCGGCTGGTGTACAACTCGCTGGTGTACGAGTATCAGTAGGCCTCTGTACGGCCGTCCCTCCGGTGAAGTCTCATCTTTCCTATACGCCGTATAATTCCGCACGCTAAAGACAGCGCCTGGTTTGAGAAAGGTTTCGCTCACGAGTGCTATGTCAACGTCGTTCTCGTGCAAAAAATGCGCGAGTAAGCGACGTTTACTCGTGAGCGATTGCGCATTCCAGTGTACTATCCTTAGCGGTCGGAATTTTGAGCCGAAAATTGATTGAAGCAGCGTTGGATCTGCTCTGCCAGCGTTTTGGCGAGCGTTACTTGCCAGTCTGTGGCCAGTCCGGGCATTTCTATGTTTTTGTCCGCCTCGAGTTTGTTTTTATTACGGTCTGGGGCGGCGCTCTGTGTGTGGGCCTCGATCTCACCTTTGGGGGCGGGGCCTAGGTTCGAGCTTTTCTTTTTTTTTCTGCGGCGGGTAGTCTTGTTTTTCGCCGGGGCTGCGGGTGCTTTCATTTTGGCATCATTTGCGGGGGCCATCAAGGTTGCGGTGGCGGATTCACTCACCTCGGATGGATGAATAGCGGCCCTGGTGATTGGGCCAACAGAGGGGCCAGTTTTTGCGACCGTTGTGGCCCTCTTGTTTCGGCCTTCCCTCTTAATGGTTGGGCAGCTGGTGTGATTGGCGGGGTGTGGCCCTCCGCAGTTCGCGCAGGTCGCAGGCTCTGTGCGTGGGCGGGGGCAGTCTGCGGCAGCGTGAGGCTTTCCACAGCGGACACAGGCCAAGGGCCGGTGGCACCCCTTAGAGGAGTGCCGGAATCCTTGGCACCTGTGGCACTGTGCCGGACCTTTTTTCCCTCGCCATGCTTCTATTGTGACTCCGGTCATGTATAGCAGCTCCGTAATATTATAAATAGATGGTATTATACCTTGTGACTTCTGGAGTGCCGCGAAAAAGATGCATCCCGGTCGTCCCGCTCGAGCCCGGATGCGCTTTACGTGCTCGACTGAGAAACCCTTCTGATCTAGGGCCTCTTTTATTTGCAGCGGTTCCGTGTTAAACGGCAGCCCACGGATCGCCACCTTCAGGCTGCGTTCCTCCGGGAGGGCATACGAGTACCAACTCAGCTCTGGCTGTATCTTTTCCAATTCGGTCAGATACGCCTGAACGAGTCGGTACTCGTCGCCGTCCGCGGGAGAGAAACGCACTCCGGTGCCGAATGGCCTGGCGCAGGGCGGTCGCCCTAGACGGTCGTTTAGTTCTTTAAAGTGCGAGGTCCAGTCTGGGAGCTTTTCAACAATTAAGGGTGGGTACCTTTTATCCCTTGTTGTGGCTGTTTTGGATGTTTCGGCTGTGGCTGCGGTCGATTTCGTCGCTTCAGTAGGCAGTGATTCATAATAGTACTCGCCGCCATCTTGACGAGGGGGCGGGGCTTGAGTGCTTTCCCGGGGTGTGGTCGGGGGTGCGGCCGGGGGCGCGGCCATCACCTGTGCATAGGAATGAGATTGAGGAGGAGGGTAGTTGGATTTTTGGCTTACCGGCTCTCTACTCGGTATAGCCCGATCAGCATACCCTTCTTCGGGAAATTTCATGTCTACCCTCTTTGGTACGATTTTATCTCGTTGTTTTTGTTGGAGGGCGGGGGTCGTCATTTCTTCTCTCGTTGCTATCTGAAAAACTAGACGTGATAGCTGAAATCTGTAAACAGATTTGGTCTCATAAAATCTAAGCCAATAGAAATCACATAACGACCTTTCCGTAGTAAACGTAGTAAAAGCCAAAACGGTATTTTTCAATACGGCCAAAAAACAAAAACGGTGAAGTTTTTTCCCGTATATTTTTTGATTCGCTTAATTTATAATAAACCACTATAACTCATTAAGCTTAGATTTTCGGGTTGCTTACTAAAAAGAAACTCGGAATAGCCTACATTCATTAGTTCCAGAGATGGCATGGCAATTTACTACAAAAAAAAACAAGTTGTAAATGGTTTCTACGACATTTTATTTCTGCTTCGCAAATGTAATCTTTTTTCCTTGAAGTTGTATAAGACTTCATAAATTGTTTCATTAATGGGATTTTTGAATTAAAAGACAATTGTAATAAGAATAAAGTTTAATTTAGTGAAGTAAATGCAACTAAGTGCGCGGCCTATTGCCCACCGCACCGCTCCCCGTCTGCTGCGGAAGGACTGCGCAGTTCCCCTCGCAGGCCCTTCCGCGGCCCTCTCATGTAGGTTAGGTACAAAAGATAGCTGAAGCCACGGAATCCATCGGTGGCTGGCACGGCTAACGCCATGCCGGACAGCAAGTGATTCAATTAGATAGGGTCACTGCAGGTGCGCAGCCAGGGCGCACCTTCGCCTTCCCGTGCCTGTTCTTTTGCGGTGGCAGGGGATGGCCGGAGGATTGTCCTCCTGTCCCCTCTCGGCCTCCTCCTCCTCCTTCTTTAAGATGACGTCGTCACAGAGAGAGGCGACTCCTTCCAAGCCGTCTCACTACTGTGCATAGCCTCGACCATGCTCGGCAGCGAGAGAGAGAACTTACTGTCCTAGGTAAACAATTCAACACGACCCTGCTATTGAAAACACGAATTTTGGGGCCCACAACTAATGCCAACAAGCCGTACTTGCGCCTAAGCAACGTCCAGAACGTTTACATAGAATATTGGTTTCTTCTACCAACTTACATCCTTTATTTTTTCACTCCTTGTAATAAAAAAAACTGTGACTAATCGAAGCCTATGTCCTTTTCCGAAGTCCCTAGTATGTCTACATCAAAATTGTTAGTAGTATCGTGTCTTTTACTACAAATTTTTCAATAGTATTATATAATATTATTTTCCAGTACTGTATTATATATGTTGTATTGACCGTGGAATGAGAAAATATGTCTCTTACTAGATTGAAAAAAATATTTTTAAAAAATTGCTCATTATGACATTTTACTAAAATGGGTTTAGGGCATTGATTGGAGCGTGTTGTAAAAGACATTATTTCGCGAATTTGAACATTTTAAATATACAGATCGATAGAGCTCGCGATTCTGATAAAGAAACGGTTAAAAACAGATTTTGGGTAAAATGGCTTTTACGACGTTTCATCCTGGAAGGATCGATAAGTCATAATCACCTTTTTGCCCCACGGGCTTTTATTTTTTTTGTCGACCAGTGTGTAATCAAGTGCTCCATCAGTCGATCGAAATTGATTGATGTATATTTCACTTCAAAACTTTGTTACCATTCCAGAGGTGCCGCGTGGGAAGACGCATTTCTCGACGCGGTCGGCATCGCAGAAGATACTGGCCGCTTCAAGCACATATCTGTCGCGCGATTCGGTTCCCGAACCCTTGACCACGAGCTGGAGAAAAACACCAGAACTGTCATCCCTTACTTCAGCTCCACGTTCATACTGATGGGCATATTCTCCATAGTCACGTGCATGATGGCAGACTGGGTGCGGTCGAAGCCATGGTTAGGCCTACTAGGAAACATATCTGCTGTTATGGCGACCTCAGCCGCTTTCGGTTGCGCCATCTATTTGGGAATCTCCTTCATCGGCATCAACTTGGCCGCTCCCTTCTTGATGATTGGTAAGTTTGTTTCTTATAAATATATTTTATATTTCTATGCACGTTGACTTCGTGATAATCATCAGCTTATTAACGGGATGGGTGGAAAGGGGAGAACCCATCACACAAGCCCAGTGAGTATTGGTGGGGGCTAGCTAACGACTGCAGATATAGCAGGGACCAACGGCTTTACGCGTCTTCCAAAGCACGGAAGAGTTAGAATTCGTAAATTTTTGTAAGCCTATAAATAATAGCCATTACAAAAGTCGCATAACATCCACGACCGCAGATAGGCCTCCAAGGCCGAATTAATAATAGGTAGTACAATTAAGGTATACCTACGAGTACGAGCAAGCGCGTACATTTGCCCCGTCGGCATTTTACGCCACATGCATTTATTTGGGTTAATTATGAATCAGTTCGTCATCGGTCATTATTCGTACCACGCGGTCTCACAGTCATATCGTTTTAGTTTCGTAATTATCAGTTTGTTATCAGTAATATATCATTTAAACATATCAAGAATTTCTCTTCATAAAAGGTGTACAAAACCCGTACATCTTTTTGGTCCTTCGAGCCGGATTATTATTGATTTGTTATGCATATAAGAGATTTCCTGTGTTTCGAAGGGCTACAAATTACGAATACCCAAATGAAGTGCTAGCATTAATTTTATATCCCAAATTTTATCTCATAGATCACTTATAAATTTGACTGGGCTCGGTGGACCCCCAGCTGCTGCTTTTTACCATATTTCCAAAACTCGTGAAAGATGTAATGAATAGATTTAACGATGGAAATTCGCGTCGCGGCGAAGATACCAGAGATCCACCTGGACCACTTTAGGAATCGCTGCCAGATAGTAGCGACTCAATCTTATGTTTATACTTCCATGTATTGGTTAGTTGCGTGTGCAACCGAATCCTTATATTACCCAGGTGTATTTATTCTTCCAGGTATTGGTATCGACGATACGTTCGTGATGCTGGCGGCTTGGCGGCGAGCCTCCCCCAAACTGGACGTGCCCGAACGAATGGCGATTATGCTGTCGGAGGCAGCCGTATCGATCACCATCACCTCCGTCACAGATATGTTGTCGTTCTTCATCGGCGTCTTCTCGCCGTTCCCTTCAGTGCAGATCTTCTGCATGTATTCAGGTTAGCCTCATTGACGCTTTTTCATCATGATTAGTCTATAAATGTCTCCATTGCTGGGGCAAGAGCCTTCTAATGGATGGAATAGAGAGATCAGGCCATGGCACATTACACGGAGAGTGAAGATGGAAAGAAGCTCAAGATAATTAGTTTTTGGTCGCCCATTTTGGAACCAGTAGTTCTGCCTATAAAATAAACAGCTGCTGAAAATATCAATATAAATAAGCATTATACAGGTTTATAAATTCTATAATAGACTGCGTAAAAAACATAGAATAATGGATGGCTTCTAACTCTCCCTAAGTAGGGCACAGTGAATTTCTGGCTCCCATCTGGCAATGACATTGCCCAACCTAAACCAAGATGCCATTGTTGAAGAGTTAATTAAATACTTAGCTACGAGAATAAAATTTATAATAGTAATGTATGGAGAGCCATAGATCATGGGACCCCAAAACTGTAGTTTCTTGACATATGATAATTAATCTATTGAGAAAATATGACAGCATGTGGTAAATTGATGTGTCAGACAGCCATCTGAATACTCACATGCAGCTCTTACAACCCCACAAGGGATGTATGGCATAAAGTTATGAGTACTTATGCAACCTTTCTCAGTGTATTAATTTTACAAAGGTATTTCTCGTTAATTTGTTGCAGGTCTAGCAGTTTGTTTCACATTTATATGGCACCTCACATTTTTCGCCGGTTGTGTAGCGGTCTCTGGTTACCGAGAGAAACAAAATCGACACACCATCACTATGTTGAAAGTCTTGCCAGAATCTAGAGCTCGGAAAGGTACAATTTAATTTTGTTTTTTTCATGCTATATGTTTCCTGTGAGGATTTTAATTAGTTAAATATTCATAAATTGTGTTTTTTTACAGAAAAGAGATCGTGTATGTACCGATTATTCTGTACTGGCGGGATAGACCCAGCTGATCCTGATAACCCTATAGACAACAGAGAACATTGCATCATGTCATTCTTCAAAACTACAATGGCGGATATCCTAAATAATGGGCTAGTGAAAACCTTTGTCATCATCATATTCCTGGCTTACTTGGCCGGTGCCGGGTACGGAGTCACCAACCTCAACGAAGGGCTTGAACGGAGGAAGCTTTCGAAAGAGGATTCTTACTCTGTGGAGTTCTTCGACCGAGAAGATCTTTACTACAGAGAATTCCCATATCGAATTCAGGTAACTTGATTCTACTCTCAAAGGAGAATGCCCATGTTTGGTATAGCTATGTCTCAAGCATCAAGATAAAAATAATATGATAATTATTTTCTTTAATTTATACGTACGTTGTTGGTCTACTAGAATGGCTATTTTGAACAGGGAATCATTTTAGATGTAATATTAGTCATAGTACTGTTTATATTTTGAGCCGGATATGTGACATTTGTTAATTTATCGTGAAAAAAGTGATGCCATAGTACCTTATTAATTAAACATTTTAATCGATTGTTGTCTTTGTTACTGATGTATGTACCATCAAAAAGCAAATAATCCCGTGTTACGAATTATTGTTTAATAGTAACTTTACGTCTTTACTGTCTTAACGGTTGCGATGACAACTCGTAATTTTATGTATTTCGTCTGAATGCTTAATACGTCACATTACATATATAAATAGCTGTAAACCTAACTTTAAATAGGGGTTATTAAGAATTTGAGGTTATATCACATTTTTTACAATAACATTAAAAACCCTGTTTTGTATTTTCAAAGTACCAATTGTCATACTAATTTGAATATTTAACGATCATTTAACATTTGTTTGGTATTGATGCAACCATTGTACGGTGGTCCATACATCCATGAGCATTCTCCTTTACGGTTGAGTACCTACTTATTTAACTGTCACACTTTTATTCTAAGCCTATCTATCTACCCAGCTTGATACCTGGGCCGACATTTTTTTCTAGCAACATTTTCATGTCTATTTTCCTCAACAGGTGGTGATAACAGGAAATTACAATTATTCGGATCTAATGATACAAGATGAGGTGGAACTTTTAACTCAGAGACTAGAGAACACGTCGTACATTTCAAATTCGCTGTACACAGAATCGTGGTTACGAACATTCATCAATTACGTATCGAGAAATAACGACTATTTGAATGTCACCATCGACAACGAACCTGACTTCATACAAAATCTTAAAGAAGTGAGTACTTATCGAAATTTCATATCAAATGCAACTAAAGAAATGTATGAGTTATTGTTATATTTTATAATTTACATAAGGAAATAATAATTATCCTTAAGATATCGCTAAAGTAACCTTATTTACATTTCTCTAGTTATGGCTATTTCCCGCAAATCCATTCTCTTTGGATGTCAAGTTCAACGAAGCCGGAGACCGCATAATCGCTTCCAGATTCCTGATACAAGCCATCAATATCAGCGGCACTAATCACGAAAAGGAAATGGTCAAAGTGTTAAGAGATGTAGTAGCTCAGTCGCCTTTAAACGCGTCTGTGTTTCATCCATACTTCGTTTTCTTCGATCAGGTATGTAAGAACTCGTCTCCTTATTATCATTCATTACAAATTCTCCCTCTGTTTTCTTAAATTTTGTTGCACTAATAACCGTTTTTCCTTTCAGTTCGAGCTGGTCCGGCCAACTTCAATCCAGAACCTCTCTTACGGCGCGTTAATGATGATGATCACATCATTCATATTCATTCCCAACATTCTCTGCTCACTATGGGTTGCGTTTAGTATTATTTCTATAGAAATCGGAGTAGTTGGATACATGGCTTTATGGGATATAAATTTAGACTCCATATCCATGATAAATCTTATAATGTGTATCGGTTTTTCTGTCGACTTCACCGCCCACATTTGTTACGCATACATGGCATCCAAAGCGAAGTCACCAGATGCTAGAGTTAGTGAATGTCTGTTTTCATTGGGGTTGCCCATTGTTCAAGGATCATTCAGTACCATTCTTGGCGTAGTAGCCTTGCTTCTGGCTGACAGTTACATATTTTCAGTTTTCTTCAAAATGGTATTCATGGTTATATTCTTTGGAGCGATGCACGGTCTGTTCTTACTTCCTGTTCTGCTATCTTTGTTTGGGCCTGGGTCGTGCACCAGAAAACAAGAAGACATAAAAATGTCAAAGATAGAGAAATGTTACCCTCACCCTTACTGCCTGCCACATCCGCAACTGGTTCTTAACGATCAGATATTTAATGGAAAAACTTTAAACCCCAATGGAGTCTACAAAATCTATGGTGATGATAAAGACCTTGGTATCGGCACATCCGGGGAAGACACGAGTGAGAGTAGTTCGAACCAATCGCAGCGGCGACAACTGGACAATGAGAGTGGACGTACAAAATACGAGGACGGTTGGAAGAGATCAAGCTACTGCCAGAGTGCGAGTCAGTTTCAGCCATCTGGAGAACTAGATATGTACGGTCACGAGTTAGACAGGACATGGCAACGGCAACGCTACGAAGACAATAGGAGAGTATTTGAAAATTATAGGAAAGCGCCACCTATGCCTAGGTCTAGAGACGATGACTGGGTTGCTTCGGCGCGTAAAACTAGCGACGATGGACCTCGACGCGAAGGCACCTATAGAGTGATGAGAGCTCACTCACACCACAATATACATAGACCACGTGCTCCTAGACGCTCAAATTCTCATCAGAATCTCGAACATTTAGACTACGTAGCCGAAATGCGTTTCCCTTGACATTCACCAAACGGTTAACTTGTAAGTGTTGCCTATAGAAACGGTAAACTCAGTATAATTAAAAGTGCTCAAATTGTGGACCAAAGTATTTACCTGCTACTATCGTAAATTCAATGTATTATTTTAAGTTGTATTTAGAAAATATTGAATTTTTACCTTTCATTTGTGTACATTTAAGTTAGAAGGTATTAATTTAAGATATAACTTTAGCGAGAGAATGCCGTAGTGATATTATATGTGTGAATTAATATTATATACTTTGTGAATTATCATTTAATAATTAAAAGTCCTGAATCAAGCAGAAAATATACATGTACAATTGTAAATTCTGTCGCCTAAAAAATTTTATTTATCGCTGTTAATAATGCAGTATTTTTCTATTTTCATTTATTATTTTATAATAAGATTCGTCCGGATCTAAACCATTTTACACAATATACATCCCAATATTGTGAATAACAGTGAAATGTGAGTGAAACAAAATATGTTTAAAATAATTTATTAAAATATTACTAGTTCCTACAAGTAATAATACTTATCATTGATAAGTTATCAACTAAAGTATCAATCAGTCAGTGTCTATTTTTAAAGGTTATACATTACATTGTTCAGACAATTTTGTGTCTTATGTTTAGTTTCTTAATGAATTTGTGTGATATTATAAAATCTGGGGTAGTTACGGGGTAACTTTTAATGAATGTGTACATATAAGTGTGTAAAACAATGGGCAAATAAGTCTTCATTGGTTTTGTAAGAGAAGCTTTAATGTTACCTGTTTAAATCTGTAAATAAAAATTTGTGATACCTATGTCTCGATGCCATGTATACTTTATATCCCCATCTATATAATTTCTTCGAATCATTCAGTTTGACACAAAATACTTTTAAACTTCAATTTACAATTTGCTGTACATTCGAAAGATTATTTATGATAATTAGAACATTATTGTTTCGAATAGGCTGATGATTCAGATGTAGGTTTTATGAATGATGTTCTTGTGGTAAACACGTTTACAAACATCATGACTGAATATTGTAAATAATTTGTTTTATATTAATAAAATTAGTTTTGATAAGATTGATTTGCTTTATTGTCTGTTCAATCCTTTTTATTTAATAATAACATAACACACTAACGGAAAATCCCTTCATAACTTTAAACAGATCAGGTAAACTTGTAACACTATAACTAAATTACGATACTGGTTTTTAACACTTTTATCTTAGGGAGACGCTCTAGTTATTAGGTTAAGTTATAATTATGTCATATACACACAAATATCGGCTCAGGCAAAACACAAAATAAAGAAGTTGGTGTCTATGTCGCAGGCGGTTTATAGACTTAGCCAGTTTACATGCCGGCTAGCTGGATTGTATTACGGCTAAATTTAAGTTGGCCGCATTGTAAAGAACGTTTCACGTTATTGAATAGGGCTAAACTTGGGGTGCCATTTTTAGTACCAATTTTTAACACTCACTGCGCTACATGTCGCAAACATATCAAGGGCGTCAAATAAAGATATTTTTTTATTTGCTAAATAGCATTACTTATTTATTAGTGGAGATGCACCGAAATTCGTTTCACATTCGGTATTACTGAAGTTTGGCAGCTTTTACCGAACTTCGTCTGCGGCCAAATTTGGGCACGGTTTGCCGAATGGCGGCCGGAATTCGGTAGATTATATTAATTTAAATAAAAAATAGAAAAGTGAAAAGAAATTTATGTGTAAAAGGAAATCTAGACCAAATGATAATAGGCTAGTTGACTCATGTCAATTTGCACTATACAAATGTTTATTTCTTATAATGTTTGTTATGAGGAACCTAAAACCATCGATTTCACTTCATAAAATTAGAAGATGGCTGTAGTAATTTGATTTGAAAAATGGTTTTTTAGTGTATGCTTTTTAAACACTTAAAACGCTGTCCACCATGATTGTGACGTCAACAAATTGAAATGTGTTAGTAAACAACTAAACGTCATTGTCGTGTTATTGTAGTGTCTTTCGTCGGACTAAAATATATCTAAAAACTCTTAAATCTTGTAGAAAAACTTCCGTTTATTGGTTTTGTTGACTAAATTAATGCTAGACGCCGGATTTGTCAAAGCAGAAACGACAAAACTCTTTAACTTAGTAGGTACATTCGTAACATTAAAAATTGTATTTTTAAACTTTAAATATTATTCAATGAGTACTCACATTAAAGTGAACATTGCTAAAAAAAATGAGTTTCAGACGGTAAAATTACAAGATTTAGCAAGTTTTAAACATGACTGTGTTCATGTGTAGGTATGTGTATTTCTCTAGACAATTTAAACCACAACATTTCTGGAATGTTTAACGGTGTGTTTCTACATTCTCGTACATGATAATTATTATATTTATCATGAAATCTATTAGAAATCATGGTTTTATAATAAAAATTTAGATTTCGGTTATTTCCTACGTGCTTCCGAATGTTTGTTTACGATTTTGTTGACGTCATAGCATAGATAATCTATAGACTAAAATGGCCGACAGCGTTTTTGTATGTCCATGAAAAATCTATTTTAAAATTAGTTTTGTAGCTTTCTAGATAAAAAAAATATAATTTTTTCGGTCTAATAGAACAATAAAATTATTAACCATTTAAAACATATTTCCAAAAAGTGACAAGTAGCCTATTTGTTAGAAAAACGTGGATGTTCCTTCGTGTTTTTTTTTTATTTTCCTAGACAAGAACAAAATAAGTGTCTAAAATATGCTCAAAAAAAATTATCAATTGTAATATTTATCTATCAGCTAGATTACATAACATGCTTTCTTCTTAGTATTATTTTTTTTAATTGCAACAAAACAATATTTTTATTTATTATTATTTTTTAAACATTTGGTGCGTAACGGAAATTCTAAAAGCCGAAATTCGGCCGAATTCGACATTCGGCAAGACCTACATTCGGTGCAACACTAATGATTAGTACCTATGGTACGCACAATTTTCCTTAATTAAATTTGTTACTAAAAAATGTATGTAATACAGCTGAATCTACAAACTGCCTGCGACATCTAAACCATTTTAGACGATTATAACTCGAGGGAACTCTATACAAATATTATCGCCCAAATGTCCGAGAATATAACTGACTTCATGTTTACACAAAAATACTCCCACGTCTTCATAAGATAAAAGTATTATAAATGCATGTTTACAACTATGAAATTAATTTAAAATATTATGATAGGTACATTAATGGAAACTTATATTTTAAAATAATATTTTCTATTTCATCATCTGAATGTTCTAATTGTGTGTAACAACACTTTAGAATCACAAGATTTCAACACTCGTTAAAAACTACGTCACAATGTGATATGAAACGAACTGTCGGTCAGTTTCCATCAAAATATTTTTCTTACAAATGGTGGGTAAATAAAAATCTACAAAAAGTAGTACTCCTTCAAGAAACTTTCGATCATCTCAATGGCATGCTTGTTAAAGAAAGCAGCCAACAATTTTTTAATGTAGTATAATAATGATATTAGTTTACCAATCAGCCAAGTGGAATACATTTTATATCTGTTACATAAACTCAATGTCTCATGAGAGACAGTAACAATTTTGTCATGCTAGATTATGGTTGTGAAGTGACTGACAAATCTTAAAAGAAAATCCATCATTTGAGAGTATACTTACATAAAGTCTATGATGGCCTTGCATGTATATTTGCTAGTAACTGACTACAGAATAATACCAAATCTCGGTTTTGAAACCTTTCACAAATGTAATGGCGCAAAAATGCTAATTCTTGGTTAGGGTTTTGTGATTCACTCTGTTTCTTTAATATTTGAGTGATTAATGTGTTAGAATTACTAGGAGTGACTTTATTCATAAATGCTTTGGTTATTGCGTCAAACGACACAGTCTCTGCAATCGTCAATTTCGAAGACTCATCTAAATTATGAACAAGTAGTTCAACGAAGTCTGGTTTCTGTAAAATAATATAATCAGGTGATTATTTATTGAAAAAAAAAACAAAATTTACATTGACACAGACATCGGACAATGAAATTTACATACGAATCGATTACTTACCTCTGCTATACATGTCGTAATTATATCTTTAGTAGATTTACTGCCACTTTCTTCTGTTTGAACATCCCTATGGCATGTGTTGATTTCATCTGTCTGTACACTAACAGCCGTCAATACATTAGTATCCGTCTGCATATCACTATTTTTCACAACCTTGTCATTTGTCTGCGTTTCAATGTCCATTTTCGCTGGGATCATCAACTCTGGAGTTATATCCGAGTCATCGTTGATAACTATTACTTCCCTTGGCCCAGTTTGATCAAATGCTTTCTTCAATGCATAATCGTTTAAAACCTTCTTAGCGATTTTAACTTTAGGCGCCTTTATACACAATCTGTTAACTTCGAGTTCTGTCATTTTTGCTAGGTCACCAACTGTTGCAAGTGTTCCTTCCAATTCTTTCAAAAACACAGTTTTCATTGTTGGTGATGATAAATCAGAAGCAATTACGTCAATGGGATCCGTACAATCTAGTAGCTCGGGGCATAAAGGATCCGTGTCATTTAAATCACTATTCTTTATGATCTCTACTGCTGGAGTATCATCTAGACTCATTGATTGTGTGTCATCCGTACCAGTTCGATCTATTTCAGTAAAACTTTCGACAGTTTTCGTAAGTACAGAGTCAAGCTTGAATACATTATCCAGCTTTTTAGGCGGCTTTAGTGTTGTTTGTGAACGCAGGTTTTGTCTCTCTTGACGTTTAAGGGCAGAGTTTTGTGGAGATCTTATTCCACAAGGTTCAATATACTTTTGCACTGATACCGTGGTAGAAACAGGGGGGTCGTGAAAACTCACTCTTTTTCTCTGAAATTGGGAAACATTTAAAAAAAGCTGAAAAATTTAACTGGTAATTTGATTTTTTAAATTGGAAAAAAAATCTTACTTTGGAAGCTGGCGTCACAGTAGCTTCGTCAGTTATTTCTGCCAGTTTTCTTTTTAATATTGGACCCGAGGGACTACAGTCAGAAGTAGGCAGCGACCTTTTAAATTTTAAGAAATTTTCACTGTCCTCACTACCTTCACAATTTTCATTAGCCTCTCCGACTGAATTATATAAAATTCTAAGATTTCTTCTCGCTGGCGTATTGGAAGGACTGCTTTTCTTGAGTTCTTCTGTTTCAACTCTTTCGGAATTAATAATAGTCTGTATTCTATCTGGGACGCAAAGACCCAACATTTGAGCAGCTCTTCCACCAGATCTTACTTGAGTTTTATTTTTCTTAAGCGATAAAGAGGAGCTAGGGCTACTGTTATTATTTACATTCGTTTCCTCTCTTGGCGGCGACAAATCCCTTTTATCGGGGGATACTTTATCTTCAGTAAATATTTCAGGTGAACCACATTTTTCAAACGGCTCTCCATTACTTTGAACAGGAGACGACAATTGTATGACGACATAATCATTGCTAGTTTCCGGTGACGGTGACTTCTCTTCTCTTACAGGACTCATTGTTTTTATTGGCGATATTTCTAAAGTGTTATTGAGGAAATCTTTCTTTCTTTGTTCTTCGTCTTTGTACGGCAAAGAAGCTGTATTATCATCAACCTCGGCCTGAGAAGAAGCCTCTATAGATTCGCTTATACTTTTTGTAACGTCGCTATGAGTGTTTTCAGTTATTAAACACTCCTTATTAGCCTCTATATTGTAGTTACAGCTTTGAATAGCAACTTCTTGGTCACCTTCTGAATGAATGTTCTTTTCTGATGTATTGGTTGTACAATTTGTGTGTTCCATAAAATGTTTTGGATCTATGGGTTGAGTGTCAGCCTCAGCAATCTCTTGGGTTTCAGACCCCACAGAACTATCTTCAGTGTTAATCACAATAGGTGATTCTTCATCATTGATTATAATAACATCGTTCGAATTATCTTTCAGCTCTATTGTTTTGTCATCTATTGGCTCTGTGTCCATATTTTCTGTAGAATCTTTATCTAAGTCTTGGGAAACAGTTTTATTTTGAGGTAAGACACTGTCATCGTCCTTTCCAAATTTATCGCTTCTTTCATTTATTGATGATTTATTAGATATTTCCAAATCGTTTTGTAAAATATTTAATCGGGTCAGCGGATCGTTTTCAGATGATATTAATGGACATTTTTCTATAATTACTGACACTTTTTTCACTACACTCTTTGTAGATGTTGCTGATATAGTAGTTAATGTCGAATCTTGTGAGCTCTCTATAATATCTTCTGACAATGGTAAATCTTCTGATGTGTCTGTGTCATTGCTGTGGCTTTCCTTAGTCATTTCCAACTCACAGTTTGATTCAGATTCAGTCGACGCTCGTTCTTTATCTTTTTTTTTCGGATTGGCCACTTTAGTTATTAATTTATTATCTGATTTAGATTTATTTAACTTTTCTGTTAGGCTTTTACGTCTTGAATTATTTAATGGGTTCACGAAAGCTTTCCTAGTCACACGCCGTTCAGTTTTGATTTTTAAGAATGGATGTCCTTCCACTGTATCGATAGCTAATTCTTTTTCTATGCGTGATTTTTTATCACCAACTTTTTTGGCAGATGATCTTTGACCACCATTTTCTTGTTTTTTATTCGGTTTAGGTGTAGCTGTTTCTATATTGGAACAATTTTCCTGAACAATAATCTCCTTTTGCTCATCTGACGGGAGAAGATTTGCTTCTGTATTTTCTTCAATTTTAAGTAATTCAGTGTCATTACTGGGATTCTCTGAATTACCCGTTAAATTATTCTCACAAACTGTACTTTCATCATGTTTGTGCAACATTTTATTCAGTTTATCATCTGTAATGGAATAAGTACCTTTAATGAGAGGAGTAATACTTGTCTTATCCGGACTAACTTCCAACTTTCTATCATTTTCTGATACCGTATTCTTTACATTGTCATTGACGGATTCTGTCAGCACTTTTTCACCAAGTTCATTGTCAGCCAAAGTATTACATTTGCTGTCATTGGTATTATTTTGCGAAATGTCTGCAACAAGTGGTTCATCTGATATTTCAGTTTCATGTTGTGATTCACTTTGGCTTGAAGTTCGGCGACTTCGCTTTAAAGCAAATATTTCAGTATCGTCGAATTTTTTGGGTTTCCTCTTTACTCGAGATGGTCTTTCAGAATTAATTTTTGCTGGGGCCGAATAAATTAAATCACTATTATCGTTATCTTTTGATTTTGATGGAGGAGTTTTCGGAATATTTTCAATTTGTACCAAACTTTCAGATAAATCTTTATTATCTTTCTGCACTCCAGCTTTTTCAATCAAGTTTCTCACATTTCTAAATACTCTGTCTTTTAACGCCATTCGAGGCGATTTGGCATCTTTTGGTGTCGTTGTCTGTTTTAAGGTATCAATTACTTTAGTGGTAGAATTTTCAGTTGTATTAGCCTCCACACTTTGTTCCTTTGGGGCAACTGAGAAATTATTTTCTAATATTTTAGGAACAACCTCAGAACTTGGTATGTTTTTAAGAATGTTAGAAATGTCTTCTGCTTTCGTCGATTTACTGATTGAACTAGATTTGCTATTAGTAGATGACGAATCTTGTGAATCGGTTTTCCATGATATCAGTTTAAACTCATCTTGAGATTGAGACAGGTCTTGATATAAAGCTGGAATATCTTCTCTTTTCCGTTGTAACTTCTCTTTCTGGTTCTCTGTTAGTTTTCGGGGGTTAAATTTCCAATTTGATTTCACTACAATAAACTCTTCTCCATTTTCGACAACTGTATTCACTATATTAGCTTCTTTTCTTTTACCTTTTCTTGTCATAATTTTGGCATCTGGGGTGGTAAATTTTTCATTAGTTTCAATATGTTTTTCGACAGTTTTGTTAGCTAAATCATCATTACATTCCATATGATCTATGGCAGTCTTAATTTCGTTATAATATGCAGTTCCATCTTCTTTCATATTTGCAAAACATGTCTTCATAATAGGCAATATACATATTTTAATTTTTTCTTGTTTTTTGGCTAGTGGTACTAGGTTTAGTAATTCGTCTGCAATAACATTTAGAAAAGATTGCTGCTTATGACACAAGCTAAAAAAAAATACTACCCCCTTTAAAAGATTTTGAAGTAATGATGTACAGTGTTCCTGAAAAGCAAGCAAATAAATTATGTTATCAATACTTTAATCTGTAGGTATATTATATATTGTATTATGTCAAAAATTACAATTTTAAAATCGAGTCTCCATTATTTATTTACTAAAAAAATTGATTTTTGTTGAGCAATATTGTGAACTACCATGAGAGCCGTAGTGACAAGGGGTTGTCTACAGGGATAAGTCCTGTATATTCATTCTCCTGTAGAACATTTTGGTTGACGAATTAATTTAACAGCTCAATTACCGCAACTTCCACACAGTAGGCTATGCGGACAACATAGTGATTTTCATAAGCAGGACCTTCCAGAATGTGTTTTGTAACTTAATAAGTAACGCTCTCAAGGTTATCGAAAATAGGGGCAACTAAGCGCCGACTATGGGTGAATATAACCAAAACAGAGATGGTCATGCTCACACAGATACGTAATTTGGATGCTGTAAAATTGCCTCAGTTATTTAACATTGAACTGTCGCTGGCTAACGAGGACGAGAAGTTTCTATCGCCCTTACTTCTTGATAGCCAAAGATGTCCATAACTAGGTCAAAAAGACAATAAAAGAAAATAATCTTTGTTTTATTTTATGTACTTCAATATTTTGATGAGAGTAAAGCATCAATCATATGATAACCTGTATTTTCATCTATATAGAAAAAAAATCTTACCACATCATCGTTTTGTTGAAGTTCATTTGTTATTAATTTTATCATATTACTGACACACCTCATCGTATTTTTCCCAAGCTTTATTTTCCATGTACGCTTCTCCATAACACTAATAAGGATACATATCAATGATTCTGCGATATTTTTTATCTGTTTGTAGCTTTCTATTCTATTAGTAGTTTCCATTAATAATTCAACTGATTTGTCGTAATCTTAAATGAGAAAAAAAAACTAAATAAATTATAATTCTCTAGTATTAATTTGAACAAGTTATCAAACTGTCAGAGAGCAACATCATATTACTAAAGAAGTCATCATACATTTATCAAAGCAGCAAGCTACCCAAGTTGCCACAAATAAAAATCATCATGTACAATAATGAACATAATTATATATACACCTTTACTTAACAATGATATTTAAATAACATATTATCATTATTGCTGATCGCAACAAAACTATTACATTATAATTAGAATAGCTGAAAATAAATAAATTATAAAAAACGAATACTTGAAACTGATCAGAAATACTAATAATAAAAAAATAGAAAAATGTAATAATTTTGTGGGCAAAATCTATTCTGTCTCATTGTTTTTACAATGTACAATAGATAGATGCTACTGTCATCAAGATTACAATGAGCGGGTCTTGGGCTGAGTCAAGCTGGCTACTTTTGATTAAATGACTTATGAATGCCTTTTCTAATCATTTGTTGCTCATCCAGCAAAAAAAATACTTATAGGCTCTCGACATACATACCTTTTTCCTGTGCCAATGCATATTTAAGTATCACCATAGCCCCACAAACTTTTAACAGCAAATTAGAATTATTAACTTCATTAGACCAAAGTAGCGGAATTATTGATAATTTGACGTTAGCATCAATTGCTTTAGGATACAAAAATTCGAATAACTCGTACCATACAAATGAAGAGTATGTGGCCTGAAATCATCAAAAATGTTAAGAAATCACTATAGAGTACAAAAAAGTAGTCAATCAAAATAAAGTATTTATTATGTATAAATAATATACATGCACATCTTATTTAATAATATGTGAAAGAATACTTTCGTATATAACGCTCGACCTCGAGATAGTAAGTTTATGGTCCCATCCAATGACCAGCTACTGTAAAAGTGGAATTTTTCTATTAACTAATAATTACTTTGATATATGAATTCTTTGTCCAATACTGAAGCCTTAATTTTTCGCTATAGAATTGTGCTCTAGGATCGCTACTAAAATGAGCCTATGGCTATGCAACAAACACTTTTTAAGTGTAGCTCAAGTTAATAAGTTCATGGTCACCCATTCAATAACCAACTTTGATGTAATAATTTTTGTCCAACACTGTAGCCTAAATTTTAAGCACTAGAATTGTGTTGTAGCAGTGCCACTATTTGTGTTATGCTAACAAATATTTAAAAGTGTAACTTACGTCAATAAAACAATTCTCCCACATCCATGGCCAAAGTAAGACTTTGTCTAAATTGGGCAGATCATTGTACTTCATATCAAGCAATACCTCACAGAAAGCCGTCCATAAAATAGACACATTATCTTTCGCAAAACGAGAAATTGATATCCAGTTTATTATCTGTTCTGGCGTACATAAAGTCTCAATAATAATGTATTGTATAGATGGCTTCAACCTTGTAATAACTTCCTTTATAGGCTTGCTGAAATAAAAATAGTTCAATATTATAATATTATTTATAAGAAAGCTACACAACGCTTATAATCTACATTGAATTCATTAAGAGACTACCTTTTTATAATACATCATATCAAATAAATATAGTATGTACAAATAAAACAATTTGAAATTGTCCATGTTGCAAACAATATTAGTTTCAACCACAGAGGAAAAACAAAGGTTGCAACCAACAAAAATTATATTTTCTGAATATATTCAAAAACTTGGTCTAAAGCAGGAGATATGATGGCTGCTACTCTTGCAAAATTGTAAATTGTCCATCTTAAAGTTGACAATAGTAAGTACTGATATTTGATTTATCGTGCAATACTAATCATAATAGAATAGGTAAATAAAATGAGTGCACCACCTGTTCGCTTCGAGTTGCCCGTCAATGACCTTTACAAAATGTTGCACAGGCCAATCACAGGCACGTCAACTGGTACCGTCTGACGATCTATGCCGCCTATTACAAAACTTTGACTAAAGTTAAACCTACCCCTCTAGCATGACCACCGAAACGGGATATGATATAGCTTTTTATCGAATCCCAAGTGGCAAACTCCACTGTAGTCTGACAGTTAATGCCAATATATGGCTTTATCATATCCCGTTTCGGTGGTCATGCTAGAGGGGCTGGCCTAAAACTGATGTTGTCACTTTTATTTGCTAAAAAGAAGACAGAGGTGTCGATTCTGGCGTGATTCTCTAAACTTAAAACTAAATTTAACATTAGTCTCTCCTTTTGATCCTTTATAGAGAATGACAAGGATACACTGTTGTCAAATTTAAGTATAGGTTTAGATAATCATGTCAGAATCGTCACCAGAGACAACACTAGGTTTAAAACAAGACAAATTTTAGTCCTCGTTTTGTAATAAGGCGGATAGAGTAGACTTATATGGTCTGTCAAGGAGCGCGTTGCGGTGAGGGTGGGAACGGTCAACTCGAAGCGAATATGGGGAAGAAAAATGAAGAAACTTTGCCGCCAGAGGCGCTAAATATCGTATGACCCAAAACACTTTCCGACATCGGTAATTTCCAAGTACTTAAAAAGGTTAAAACTTTGTCTTTAAACTCAGAAACCTATAAGAAAAGTCTTAAGTTTTTTTCAGTATGATGCTACTGTCAATGTCACAATCTTGATTACAGTACCCTTCCAATGGTGATCAATCAATGAGGATCCGTAACGATTTTAGTTGAGAATGCAGATTTATAGAGATAAGGATTCCATAAAATACAGTGGTTAAATTTTAGTTCTATGACTAATATTGACGAAGTTTTGACCAAATTATTGAACAAATTTTCGGCTGGCGGTGCGGTGACTGTGAAGTCACAGAGCTCTAGCGCTCGGGCGCGATACCGTGCGTAGAGACGCTCCAAATTTCGACCAGAGTGAACCACGATCGAACTCTGTAACATCCACTGGTGAATATTGGCTACCATAAAATTAGTTATGAAATTACAATGAATGAACCGATTTCGATGATTTAAAAATATATTAATTAAAAAGTATAATCATCATCATCAGCCTATTAATGTCCCCACTGCTGGGGCACAGGCCTTCCCTATGGATGGAATAGGGAGATTGGGCCATGACCCACCACGCGGGCCCAGTGTGGATTGGCGGGTGCTAACGACTGCAGATGCAGCCGGGACCAACGGCTTAACGTGCCTTCCGAAGCACGGAGGAACTCGAGATAGAAGATTTTTGGCCACCCATCCAGTAACCGACCACTGCGAAAGTTGCTTAACTTCAACGATCGCAGCCGAACGCGCTAACCACCTGCGTCATCGAGCTCCTCTTTAAAAAGTATAACAATATTATACTGTTGATTTTGTGTTGAATTTGCTGACCTAGTAATGATCCTCATTTTAATGACAACAGTTCAACGCTCCTGAGAAATCCCAAAGTTATACTTGTACTTTACTCCAGTGAAGTGCTTCTATACTGGACTGGAGTCAAGTACAAGTTTTTTATAAAATAAAGGTATTTTTTAAATATGTTATGTTAAATACATATTTTTAAAAATAATATGTTAAAACATGAGCAGAACATGTTATTTTGTTTAAAACTTGAGATAAGTTAAAATTTAAGCTGAGATTATTTGATAACTAGTTTATTAGATAAGGAAAGAAATGTACAGGAAACTAATGATGTACGAGTAATTAGAAATTAGATTAAACCTCGAACTAAATGATAGCAGACAGAATTTGCAGAATTAAACCAAACCTTATAGCCTGACTGCACTCAGATCACGCACATACTGTAGGTACGTTAAACGTCTAAACGAGATATATAACGACATTTCCCGTTAGTCTAGCCCTAGCATAACAATAAAGGTATTTATAGCAATTAGATTGTGAAACATTTAAATTAAAACACAGGTTACAGACCCGAGGAGGACGCAAAAGAATTGTAAAGCAGACCTTCATGAGGTAAACAATGGCAAATTTAGAATAAAAAACAAAACATCAAAAACACAAAGATTGGCAGATTGATTGTTGTGGGTCATACAAAGGCAGCCCCATATATACCATGAAAAGAAATCGTACCTTCTGTAGTATTCATTTAGAGACGGTGCCATTAGCATTTTTATAATTTTAAATATTGGTCCTTCTTGTGCAGCTCTATTTTTAAGGAGCGGTTTGACTTTGCCATCTCCAAATAATGAACAAACCAAACTGATTTTGATTTCTGAGTTGGCAGACCCACCCTGTAGTTTAAGAAACCAAACATAGGAAATCATAATTTCATTAAATTATATTAGTCATGTATATAAAGTTACATAAGAGACCAAAACAATGTTTTACCTGTGCCATAGTCTCTATAGATGCTAGTAATTCATCAAATAAATCCCTTCTGATGTTATTATCAGGCAACTCTCCAATTATCTGGACAAATAATTTCAATAAACATATTGTCTGTTGTAATGTTACTCCAACATTTTCTGTACAAATTTTTATTGCCACCTTGAGAGAATGGACCCAGTCATTCCAATAATCTACAAGTATTTTTTTTGACACTACTCTTCCATTTAGTTTTGGAAAGTCAACACAACCAGAACAGTTTAAGTGGCCCGCAATTTCTATAAACGCTTCTACTGCCCTTTTCTTGGTTTTATCTGTCAAGAGACAAGGCACTAATGCCTGCTGGTTCTGAGCATTGTGTTTTCCAAAACAAAAGTGTAAAAACGATATTAATATCTCATCTATAAACTTGTCCATTTTATTATGAAAACATCTCAATAAATGCCACCATGTGTTGAGTTTGGCTAAGATAGTCTCCTCTACTTTGGCATTATTAGATTTTAGTGGTATTATTAGTAGCCTCAGTCTTTTAACTATGTGTGCTTCATTTGTTTCTTTATGAAAATTACTAATTAAAATATCCCAACATTGGAAAGCTCTGCATCTGTTTGCAACATCCATTTTGAATGCTGTCTCAACAACTGGCAACATGGAATTAATTGGACTTCCACCAGGATTTGTGATGCGTGTGATTTGATGTTTTAGTAATTTAATAAATACAATCCACAATCTATGCCAACATTTACTTCCTTTAAGTAACATATTTTTCATGAGCTGTGGATATCTAAAAATATAAAAATGACTTTGTAATATCATAGAAAAAAGTTAAGCAACATTTGTCCAGCACAGGAATATACATATTTCAATGATGAACTTACGTCTTTGAATTGTAAATGCATTCCAAAACGGTATGCCAATGAACATCATCAGCATAATCAATGTGTACCAAACCATCTGACAAAGCTTCTAATGTCTCCAAGGGCTTTACACTTATAGACTCTGATACCATACTACCCATAATAGTGGGTATTAGTTTTGTAAACCAAATTCTTAGATTGGACTTCAAAAATATTATTTTCTTCTCTTTGGGTAAGACTTGTAATATTTTATATACTAGAAGGCAAGGCTGAAATTAAAAATATAATAAACAAACAAAAAGCACTTGATTTAGGTTATGTTGATTTATCCATAGTTAAATTTGACTATGGTTAATGTCATGTCATATACATAGTAAATGTATCAAATTTTAACAAATGGTTATATTTTCTATGTATCTATGAAACAACACATCCTTAGAGAGTCCATGTAGTGTGTACATCTTGCATTGTGGTCTTCTGTAAGGTGCAGGTTACCTATTACAGAAGATTTCAGTGAAAGAGCGCTATCTTTTAATGGTTTTGTGTTTTTGTTCAGTTTCCAGGACTCAAGAGCCCTTTTGCAAAATTGCGCCGCTGCCGTACTGATCGGCGCGTAGCTAGATATGCACTGGTATAATTTTATTGCACTTTACGGGTGATGTTTCGAGTCTTATAAAATAATTAATAATGAACTAATTATAAAAATATATACATATTTCAGTAGTTCAATGATGGTAGATTAGTTTTATGAGAGTTTTTGATAGTAATTCGAGGTAAACCTGCATTATTTTTTGGGAAAACTCACGGAGGTTAGATGTTTTTTTTTTTGATAATGAATGAGATGGAAAATCAAAATTTTAATACATTATGTTACAACAAAAATATATTTCCGATGTCATAGTAATTAATTTGATCTAATTTATTGAACATTATTGAGAGATTGAGGCGTTTGAAGTTGTGCATATTATCGTTTTATCCGTAAACTAGCTGCAGTAGAACGATCAGTACAAAAAAAGGAAAATAGTATTTGCTAATATTCTACATTAACTTACAATAGGAAGAATAAATCTACTGTTTACTTCTACTGGAAATGGTCAAAAAAAAATCTAAGGGGGTAAACGAGGTGCTCAAAAATTACGATTATTGAAAAAAAAGTGAAAGGGCTCTAAACAGAAAAGAGGTAAAGCAGAGCAGATTTCCTGCTTGAAATGGCTTCGTTTAATGGCGAAAATAAAATAAAAAATCTATAATGCGAGTCAACTAAGAATAGGACCGACTGGGCGCCATATTGTGATGTCATAGCTGTCAATTCAAACTAAATAGGTAGAGTGAGCAAAAAAAGTTTTTATAATACAACTTATTTACTAATATTAAGTGAGAAAAAGCATCAGATTTTTTAATAACATTTATTTACTAAGATTGAGAAAAAAAAACCACCGATTTTTAATAATATTTATTTATTAAGACTGTGAGAAAAAACATTAATCAGAATCTAACTATTCTTTTCCGCTCATCTCTGCATTACCGCCGGATTAGTTATGAATAATAATCATGCACTATTACTAGGTCACATACAAACATGCATCCTTTATATAAACGAAAGTTTGAAATTGAGTTTCTGAACGCAACTTAAAGTGGCATTTGGTTGAATATTTAGGTTATCAACCATTCATGGCCCTATGGCCACTTATTGAGCTATCTCAATAAGTGAAAAAAAAACAACCCATATTAATTATCAATATTTGTTATTGTTTGCTTATAAATGTTTGGTTTTTATTCTTGAATTAGCAGAGTGCTAAAAAGGGTTCCAAGTTTTTTTTTCAAACCGTACTTTTCAAGCGGCATTCGACAGATAGAGGTCATTGGCTTTCCTATTCTTATTTGAATTGCATTATACTAGATTATTGTATTTCTTCGATAAATTGTACCTCTTGTCTGTGAGACATGTCACATGAACCAATATTATAGCTATTAACGGGATTGTTACCATGTACCTTGTTTTTTATGAGTCTCCGATATTTCGGCACTGTTGCAAGCGCCATGATCACGGAGTAACTGAAGTAATTGCGGGTAGATGTTATTGGCAGACATATCGGTCTACCCTCTGACGTCGTCTTTTACTGCGCTCGACACCCCTACCATTGGTCACGTTCTCACTATTCACTCGCACCTGTTCCCGACACACAATACTCACAGTATCCGATCGCGGAACGACACTTTTTTGATTTTTACGGTTTTTGCACATACGAACCACTGGATTCCAGACACTTGACAATTTAAACCCATCCTCACGATTGAAATTTTTGTGTTTGGTTATTTCAATCGCTTCCCTGACCAATCTTGGTATGTAGTGGCGTTCTGTCGAGATGATTTGTGGATTATGGAGCTCAATCCAGTGATTCGGACCCGAATCGATTAAATGTTCCGCGATAGCTGATTTCTGCGTATCATTGTTTCTGACTGCTTTTATGTGTTCTTTCATTCGGCACGCTATTCTACGAGTGATTTTGATGTTTGCGATCGTGTTACCTACTTACAAGCTCAACGTACCAGGGAACTTAGTGCTATGAAACAAGATCGTAAGTTCGAGTTATTGTTAAAAAGACAAAAGTCTCATGTCCCCTACTACGAGAACTCACTACCAACTCGAACGGTCATCAATTTGTCGAGCATTGAGTTAACAGACGCTGCACAGTCAGTTCTTGAAAAAGGGATGAATTTCGCTATTACACCTAGACGCATTCCCTATGAGGAGGTCATTGGGTCGGTTGAAGAAGGTGTCATGCGTAACAAGATTCCAGCAATCGATGCGGACACGCTAAGACAAGATGTTGCTGTGGTGTTACGTAATGCGAGGCCACCAAGACCGAACATCACTTCCTCCGAATCAGCTGCGTTACAAGATCTTCGAAAGAACAATAACATAATAATACTCAAAGCTGATAAAGGGAATGCGACTGTCATAATGGACATCACTGAGTATGAAAGTAAGATTCATAGTCTACTCACTGATTCCAACACGTATATTAAGGTGAATTACAATCCAACGGCGAGGACTGATCGAAGCACCCGCTCACTTATAAAAGAATGTGCCTACGCTCTAGACGACGATACCGTCAAATATTTGCTACGTCCTAGAAACGTCCAGCCTCCAAAACTATATGGACTGCCTAAGATACACAAGCTGAATGTGCCGCTACGTCCGATCGTGAGTCAGATAGACTCACCTACGTATGAACTGGCCAAGCACGTAGCAAAAATATTGCAGCCAATAGTGGGACGAACATCGTCGTTTGTAAAAGATTCCCGCCACTTCGTAGAAATCTTACACCAAAACAAGGTGGAAGACAATCACTTGATGGTTAGTTTCGACGTGGAATCACTTTTCACAAATGTACCTGTGGTGGACTGTTTGGAAGTAGTAAAGGTGAAATTGCAAGACAATAACATCCCGACGGAATATGCCAAGTTTTTGCATCATTGTTTGACGACGAACTTCTTTATATATCAGGGTCAGTACTACCTCCAAATAGATGGGGTCGCAATGGGCAGTCCGGTAGCTCCAGTCGTTGCCAATATATGGATGGAGTATTTTGAGGAAAAAGCTTTCGCCACCGCCCCCACAGAAATTGCACTATGGAAGAGGTATGTTGATGACGTATTTTGTATATTGAGAGGAAACAAAGAAGATGTCGAGGCTCATTTGGCAAATTTAAATGGAGTCCATACCAAAATGCATTTCACATATGAGATGGAAGAAGACCGAAGTCTGGCATTTCTTGACGTAAAGATTCGGGTGCGGAATGTTGGTTCGCTGAGTCATTCCATTCACCGCAAACTCACACACACAGACCGTTATCTCAACGCCTCTTCGCATCACCACCCCAGACATCTTAATTCTGTAGTGACTTCACTGACAAACCGTGCATATGACTTGTGTGACAAGGAACACCTGCACGAAGAGTTGGAGTATGTACGGCGGGTCCTACAGAATAATGGATACAAGGGACAGTTTCCACCCAAACACAAATTAAGGCACCAGACACACATAGTAAGCAGGCAACCAGTATTTTTGCCATATATCAAAGGAGTGACAGACAAGATCTCGAACATACTTAATAAGTACTCACTGAACACTGTCTTCACTCCTTTACAAAAAGTGTCACAGTTTCTACGATCTCCCAAAGACAACTTCCCTTTGGAGAAACCTGGTGTATATAAGATCGACTGCAGCTGTGGTAGTTCATATATTGGCCAAACGAAGCGGACAATAGCGTGCCGAATGAAAGAACACATAAAAGCAGTCAGAAACAATGATACGCAGAAATCAGCTATCGCGGAACATTTAATCGATTCGGGTCCGAATCACTGGATTGAGCTCCATAATCCACAAATCATCTCGACAGAACGCCACTACATACCAAGATTGGTCAGGGAAGCGATTGAAATAACCAAACACAAAAATTTCAATCGTGAGGATGGGTTTAAATTGTCAAGTGTCTGGAATCCAGTGGTTCGTATGTGCAAAAACCGTAAAAATCAAAAAAGTGTCGTTCCGCGATCGGATACTGTGAGTATTGTGTGTCGGGAACAGGTGCGAGTGAATAGTGAGAACGTGACCAATGGTAGGGGTGTCGAGCGCAGTAAAAGACGACGTCAGAGGGTAGACCGATATGTCTGCCAATAACATCTACCCGCAATTACTTCAGTTACTCCGTGATCATGGCGCTTGCAACAGTGCCGAAATATCGGAGACTCATAAAAAACAAGGTACATGGTAACAATCCCGTTAATAGCTATAATGTTAGTGACCATGAAAGTTTAAAACAATATGAACCAATATGTCCTGTCTGCTGATTTCAGCCACCTCACAGACAAATAGTTTAAATTTATGTTTTGTTTGTATGGCTCTAACTGTAGTACTAACTACCAGTTACAATTTGGAAAACGTAACAAGAACTAACAAAACGAACACAGAAAGATGTACTGTCTGCCTGTAATGTAAATAATGGAATCCAACTCTCATAGCGTTGTATATTATTTTAGGAATGTATAGTTGTTCAGCTACATGGAGGTGATGTCTATCAAATCTAATGTAGTGAATTGATCCCCTCAATGCATGGCGAACACTGCAGACTTATTCTCTCACCTGATTAATGTCAATCATACATTAATCAGGTGACAGAATTAAGTCTTTTAAAAGTCTTATTATAAAATATATTAATGCATGAAAACATAAAAAATAACTATAAAAATGCTTACTAAACATCGAATTGTCAATGGTACTCTTTCATGGCAATATAGATTGAGAACTTCCATAACTGCATCTGCATGCAGTGTAGCCAAATCAATAAGGACAAAATCTGGATAAGACACCACTGTTTCAAAAGTTAATGCTTGTAGGGTTTCCACATTATTCAGGAAAGCTGTTGTCTTTATGATATTTAGAACTTCTAAAATTGATGTTAAAAGATTATTTAGTGTTGAGAGGTCTCCAGGCTGAAAAATAAGTTTAAGTATGCCATTATTCACACAGAATATACAACAAAAGATTGACTAGGGTATTAGTTCAGCTGTTTGTTTTTGGTTTGTAATAATTGGTTTTTAATTGTTAGTAATAAAAATTAAAACTTACCTTAGTCTTTTTCAAAATTACATTGATAATCTTAAGTATTGTAAGGCTATACTGTTTATCTTCTTGCAAATCTTGTACGCATACAGCTAGTAGTCTATCAACCATTAAAATACTCATCTCCGTGTTACTATCTAAAGCCTTTTGGAAATGTCTGTAATTTTGACTTCTTGCAAGTGGCTTATTTAATGTGCGATCTTCTAAAAGGTCTAAAACCACATAGAGATCCATTGCAATATTTTCTTCTGGCATGTCTGAAACCAATTTTGAAATAATTTACATTCTCACACATTTATCTATCTTTCGTCTACCAGCCTTGGACTAGGATCAAGCAAGACAGTACTTTGGGCACTTGCGTAGCTTTTAATTGTGTAGATAATAAGTATACCTAAATGCTAATATCAGACATGCTCAGTCTTTGAATATATTCAAAGACCAGCTCAAACACTTTTATCTTCCGCAGTGAATCTGATTTTACTGTGTAAATGTTATGTATTTGTAAGTGTGTGTGTATGTATGTATATATTATGTTAATGAATGTATTTTTAAATTAAAATACTTAGGTTTCATGTTAAGTTGTAAGTACACATGTGACTATTTACTCCAAGCCATATAACACCCCAACCTACAGTCTCTGTATAACTTTTTGTACTCACGGTTGTCTGGAAGAAATCGCTCTTAGCGATAAGACCACCAATTATAATGCTTTTGTTAAGTTTATTGTTTGTTAATGTTATGGAATTATGTACTTGGTGTTCTAATAAAGTGTTAATCTATCTAATCTATCTATCTATACCAAGACTCCTTTTGGATACTAAAGTAGAAAATGGGAGTCAATAGCATGTCTATTTTATTTGGACAAATGTAAAAGACAAGAGAAATGTAGTGAAATTATCACTTATTAATACAATTATCTAACGAATCTTCTGGCGAATGGCTGGAGACTCGTGCATCATTGCATTGTGCAATGTTTGTGATAATGATGATAAAATGATACTATCAACAAAGTTTTTTCGAGAAAGGTAGGTACTTACTAAAAACAAAGTACTAAACTGACTAGACGGAGTTCTAAACGTCTACCAAACCAAATTAATCGCTGATTATTATTCAGACCTCAGATGGGAAAATGATATTTTTTGGTTGAAATTGTAGGTATTAGATTAGTAAACTTAAGATTATTCGTTTTTATTAGCATTAACCATCAAGCAAACAGGCTTTGTTTATTAAAATAAAGACAAAAAGCCACGCCGAACCATTGCAGTCAGCAGAAATTGAAGTCGAATTTAGAGTTAGAAAAAAGGAAATTAATGAAAATTGTTAAACAAAATATAAATATTTACCGACTGAATAACGTCCTTAATTGTAATCACGATAAATATCACACAATTGTTAAATTGTATTAGCAACATCCAATACAAAAATCGCACATTTTGACGTTTAACGCATTTCTGGCGCGAATGATCACACAGATTAAAATACGTATTAAGGCTAAAGTCAGAAACATATTAACGTGTCGTGGCGTGTCGTGGTCGTGGCGCATCGGTTTCATATAACATTTGTTATGGGTTAGAGAGAGAGAGAGAGAGATGTTAGAGCGTCGAAACGACACGACAAGTAAATATGTCTCTAATCATAGTAAATGTATGAAACCGATGTGCTTCTGGCGCGCCACGACACGACAGGACCCGTTAATATGTTTCTGTCTAAATACCTACTTATATTACTTGCTCCATAGAGGTGGGTTACACGATCAGTTTGGCATCAGTTCAGTCCATCAGTCCAGACTGATAGCAGACTGATGGACTGATAGACAGATTACACGGTCAGTCCAGACTGATGTCAGTCTTCCCAAGAACTTAGTCGCATGTGGACGTATTACTTTACTGGACCGTCTGCTCACGACCCATCCACAGGGCTATCAGGTTGTGGTAAGAGCCCCCCCTTGGCTCGTCAGATCACTGCCTGATATCTGCCAAAGCACCAAAGGCCAAGCCCCCGCGTCCAGCAGTGGTCTAACGCCGTATCTGACACTATGGGTCGGAAGATTGGGACGGTATGCGTAACTACTTTGCGTCTGGCCCTTGGAAATAGTGTTGCTTCAGTGACAGGGACCTATCGGCCAGCGCCGTTGCCATTACTGAGAAGATAATGGGTATGGAATACTATATTCCTCATTCTGATCTAATCAGTAAGGGCACACGTAACCTCTGGTTCAATCACGACTGTGCTGAAGCTGCTTCGCGTAAGCAAGCGGCATAACGTGCTTGGATCACCGGCCGCGCTCTTACAATTTTGCTTTTAAGGCCTGTTATAAAAGGCTTACAGCAGAGCGCATGCCCAGCGCATGTCAGGAACTTATAACGCATCCTACGGGCTCCCGTAGCTACTGGCGTTTGGCCAAGGCCGTGCAGAAGAACTACTACCAGCCCTCGCTGCCACCTCTGAGATACCAGACGGAACAGTGGCTCATAATTCACAGGAGAAAGCCGATTTAGTGGCAAAACTCTTTGTGGCTAACTCCCGAATCGATTGTTGCAATGCGCTGCCACCATCATTACCTCATTGTGGCATAACTATGCCTGATACACAGGCAGCGTGTGGTTCGCGCTGAAATGCAGTTGCTCGACGTCCGGAAAGCTAGTGGACCTGATTATAGATGTAAAACAACCGATTTAAAACGTTTTAAACAAAATGTTGCCGTTTTAAACCCCAAATAAATCGTTTTAAACGGTTGAAAACTGGCATACAAAAATAAAAGAACTATGTTTTTTATACTTCATTATGGTCAATTTTTGGTCACCTGACATCATGTTTCGTTTTTTGCGTTGGCAAGGTTTGCGTCGAGTAACGACGAGTGACGTCAATGAGAGTGCGAGAGTGTGAGTTTGGTTTTAAACCGAATCAAATTAATTTATTTTTTTATTTATTATTATAATGGCTCGCACGGTTTGTGCATTCGCCACGACAGGGTAAAAGGTAAGGAAACCAAAATAATGAAATAAAATGGTTGTGAAACGGAATTTGGAAGGATTAGGATCAGGTAGGTATGTAAAATTAATTTGAAACGTAAGTAATAGGTCTATTTAAGTATATAAAATACATTACATTATTTGTTATAAATTATTTATAATTTTATATTATGTTTAGTTAGGAATTCAGATAGCTTGTTATATATATTATAATTTTTATAATACAATAAGGAAGGAATAGAAGTAGGGAGAGGTACATTAAGGGATATTAATGAATCCATAAAAGAGGCGGAATCATTGAGGGGACACTCGAAGAAGATGTGATTTAAGTCTTCTGCTCCAGTACCACAAGCACAAATATTATTATTTACTATGCCCAGTTTAGCCAGGTGGGAAGAAGAACAGTTATGACCTAGGCGCATTCTTAAGAGACTTGATGTGGCAAACTTACTTAAATGAATTTTAGAAAACCATGGTTTATCGGGAATACATTGTTGAATTAATTTATAATGTTTACCTTTGATGCGACTACTAGTATCCCAATTTTCTTCCCAAGATATGCGTAAATGTACTTTAGGAAGTAAAACAAGATCATTTACTAAATTTTTATAGGGAAAGACGTCACCACAATTCACTGAATCTTTAGCGAGTTTATCAGCTACTTCATTGCCTGTGATGTTATGATGGCCAGGTATCCACGCAAAGAGCACATTTAGATTCTTCAAAGTACAATTCAGTAATAATTTCCTACAATCGATGAAATAGGCGTTAGGCCGTATACAGAAAGAAAGCCGAAAGCCGATCGGCGCTTATCGGCGCCGATTCTTCCTACATAAAGGAAGCCGATTAAAGCAGATCAAGCAAAATGTCGGACTCATCGGACGATGATTTGGTTTTGTTAGGAAATGTTTATTTAAAAATGCGAAAAACAGGTATACATCCTATAAATAGAGAAAGGAAACGTTTCGGAGAATACCATCATTTATTTGTTAAAGAATTGAAATTTGATGATCAAAGATTTTATGCATATGCAAGAATGACTAAAAAAACATTTAATTACATTTTGGATTTAGTGGAAAACCGTTTGATGAAGAATTGGTGTAATTGGCATAAACAACCAATCCTTCCAGAAGAAAGACTTGTTGTCACCATTCGGTAAGTACGAAACAAATAATTTTAGCGCTTAGTTAATAAAAGATAAAGTTATTAGATTTATAAAAAGATTATAACTTAGATTGATTTAATCTAAGGATAATAATTCAAATACAAATTATTTATAATTCGACAATTAGGCGCCGATCAGTACGGCGCCAACGCCCTTCGAGGTATCTATGATGACATTTTATGTCGCACGCGTCACAAATTCTTCGAGTGCATTTATCGTAAACCGGCTGGATATACTAAATAAATATTTCCAACACTCACACCAATTAGCCTAGCCCCAAAGTAAGCACTAACAGGCTTGTGTTACATCGATAAGTATATTTATATAGAAATAAATATTAAACATCCATGACTGGAGTACATATGCTCATATTCATTACATAAACATCTGTCCTCACCGGGATTCGAACCCGGGACCTCTCGAGTCGGCGACACCATGAAACACGGCGTTTAAACCCCGCGCGGACCGTTGGACAGTCGAGATTTCGCAGAGCTCCGTGAAAAAATGCGAAATAAATACTAAAGTGTCATTTTCTCGACAGGTATCTAATAAACGTTTGTTAATTTAACGCATTGGAAGCAGATTTTGTTCTAATACTTACTATAAACTGATTTAATAGAAAATATTTGTGATATTGAAATGCATGGTCGGTAATATAGCTGTCTCTTTTCCTCACGGTCCGTATCTGTTACATTGCGAATAGCGCATTCAGAACTGCGCGTAAAATCAAATGAATAAGGTGTATATTCTTCCGCATATAGCAATAAATTCGTAAAATTCTACCTTGCTTGCATTTTGAACTGTCATAACTCTGACGCATACTTTTTAATTAAGACCTTAAAAAGTATGCATTAAAGGTGACTTTCAATGATTAAATAATGCCTTATATTGTTTTTCACTACGCGATCAATTTACTCCGTGCTTAGTTCCGTGGATCGTCCAATGTACCTATTAGACAGGTTTCGGCCACGATTTTGTTCGTGAGGTTGTATCTAGGGTATTTAATATCGTTGAAGGGCTCTTAAGACATAGGTAATATTTAAATAAAGAAGTTGTAATACTTAACCGATTTAAATGTTCACTAACTTTATGTAAGTCGACAAACTAAAACAAAATCAATTAATACCTACTCACCGTCTTCATTCATGGCCTCGCTTATTTCTTTCCAACATTTGTCAACCACGTATCTATTACAGTGCCTTTTGTCGGTTTTGTCCCACAGAGGTTGTTTAGTGAATACTAAGGATATCAAAATGTCATTATCCATTTTTCTACTTAAAAAATAATTGCGTGTAGTAATTGACGTACCTGTTGTCGTTGTTTATTAATTTAAAATTGCAGCTGACCAGCGCGAGTCGGCGCCGATCGGCGCTGGTCCATAGAAAAAGGATCAGCGCCGATCGGCTTTCGGCTTTCTTTCTGTATACGGCCTTAGAAGAAGAAGCTTTAAAAGGAAATTTTTCTATTGCCTGTAAAGTGCTTTTGGAATCGGAGAAAATAATTGTCTTTTTGAGTTGTGCAAGCAAAATGTATTCTAATGATTTAAGGATTCCATAACATTCTCCTGTGTATACTGAGGTTTCTGGGGGTAATTTAATTTTTTGTGTTATTTTATACTGTTGGTGGTAAACACCGATTCCAACTATCCCAGTAGATGGATGTTTAGATGCGTCACAGTAAATGTAATGCCAGTCTGGCCATTCTGTATTAACAATACTCATTAGATTAATATTAGCATTTTTATCATTACGTAAAGAGTCTAAATAAATTACTTTGGGTGAAATGGTAAGAGCTTCATAATTAATAGAAAAAATGGAAAGATATTGTATTCGGTGGGTGGGTGCTAGCAGTGAAGTAAATTTAATATAGCTGATTACCAAGCAAGGAAGCGACTTGTTATTCCAATATGCCGAATTATTAATTTTACGCAATAAATGGTGTAACTTGTTAAAAAGAGGGTGGTCAGAAAGTTGAAGAGCTCTAAATAGAAATTTATCACATAAAAATTGTCTCCTTAGTTTCAAAGGAGGATCCACACATTCAACCTGCAGTGCATTAATAGGGCTTGACTTCATGGCGCCAGTTACAATGCGAAGAGCTTTAGACTGGATGCCATCTAACTTACTTAGTGCTAATACACTACAGGGCTCCAGAAAGCAAGTTCCATAATCAAGGATACTTCTGATAATAGCATTATATATTAATTTTTGTGTTGATGGATGAGCTCCCCACCAAATACCAGATAGGCATCTTAAAATGTTTAATATTTTTTCACATCGAGCTGATACATAATAGCAATGTGATAAGCCA